TGAAATAACATTAGAATTGAAGATTCGTAGTTTAATCTTCAAAGATTGAACAGCCTTAAAAGTCAATGGTTAAGCACCAGCAAGGAGATCAAAATTAGAATTTTGAGAGCATGCATCTTCCCTGTGGCTAAGTACGGATGTGAGTCGTGGACTATCTCTCAGTCCTTAAGAAAGAGAATTGGGGCTGAAATGCTATAGAAAGATTCTCAGAATATCTTGGACAAAGAAGATGAGAAATATTGACATCTTAAAAGATCTGAACATCAAGGAAGATTGGCTAATAAACAGCATCCTTTCTCGAAAACTGAAATATTTTGGTCATATCAAGAGCCACGACGGATTGGAAAAAAATATAGCAGAAGGCATGGTATGAGGAAGGAGGGGCAGGGGCCGACCGACACGAAGATGGGCACAGGATATAGGTGACTCCTTGAGTGTGAAAGTGCATGAGGCAGGAGAGCTGGCGAGAGACCAAGTCTCTTTCAGGCAGACTGTGATGAGAGCGACGTTCTGCAAAGGACCTGCCACGTGATGATGATGATGAGTTTAGTCTTAAGAATGTTAATTTGGAGCTCCTTGTCCTACTGAAGAACTAATTTTAATATATAAATAGCAGATAACAAAATGGATTGCAGACTAAAGTTGAGACGTTTTTTGTTGCAAATGATATCACAGACCCCTTATATTTGTTCTGTGCACCGGTGTGGAAAGGGAGAGCTCAACCATAGGTCTCAGTCGCACTCAAGACCTACATCAAGTGGCAAAGAACCGACAGACGTGGAAAGCTATGACCTCTGCCCTATGCGCCATCTTTGGCACAAGAGGAATAACTAACTAACCGGTGTGGAACGAACAGAAAACCAAATGAGAAAAAAAGAATGCTGTATAGTTCTGGTCCTGAAATACAAAGTCTCACAACTACTGATATCCGAACCACAGACAACCGTGTGGCAAGTGAACAGACTAACACTAACAAGGTAAACAGAGTTAAACACAACAACGAAAACAACAACACAAATGAAGAAAAAATAGAATACCAGCATACCCTGCTGCCATATGTCTGCTTACTGGCTGATCATAACAAAGTAAATCACTTTGTGTTGAATGTGTTTTAATGACTGTTTGTTAACTTTGTGTTGAATGTGTTTTAATGACTGTTTGTTAACTTTGTGTTGAATGTGTTTTAATGACTGTTTGTTAACTTTGTGTTGAATGTGTTTTAATGACTGTTTGTTAACTTTGTGTTGAATGTGTTGTAATAATTGCAAGAGCGGCTTTGTGGCTTAGAGGTGAGTGGATGTGTCAAACAATTCCATGATCCTTGAGTACTTTGGTTAGACTCCCATTACAGACGGTTTGTTCATTTGTTTAAACCATTCTCATGGTTTTGAGAGTCACACCGTGGAAGAGACTAAGACCTCACCAGGTAATATTCCCAGCAGTACACTGTAGTCGATCTTCGCCATGGAGACTGCACAGAATTCACAAAAATTTTTTTTTATATTTACAAAGGTAAGTAAACTCTACTAAGATTGTTCCCAAGCCTGGCTGTAAGAGGAGGGGGGTCTGGCTGAATCTGTGTGCTTCATGCGTCTCCGGAAGTAGTGGGTAACCGTGTATCAGCCAGACGGCCTGCATGGAGACAGCAAAGAGGCAGCCCCTCCACCACGCAAAGGCACAACAGGCCAATCACCTAAAACCATGATTACAAGTCACCACAGAAAGAAAACCGAGTGGACCTTAACGGCAACAATTTAAGGAACATGAAATGTATGAGACACTCACGGGAAGGAAAAAGAGGTAACAGGGGAGATGAGGAAAGCAAAATTAGGAATCTTGGCTCTAAGTGAAACCAAGTAAAAGGAGCAGGGAATCACAGATCATGATGGAATTATGCCACTCTACAGTGGTGTCCCTCAAACGGAGACAGCCAAGGGAGGTGTTGGCTGTACTGTGTAGGAAATGATCACTCTAGATGGGGTGGAGTGATCGAGAGATATGGCGAAGATGTTTTGAATGATAATGGCAAGCTACTTCTCAGATTTTGCAGGGAATAGAAACTTATCATTACAAACACAAAATGCTACCATAAATGTAAACATGTATACACAAGATGTGAACATTCAAAGAATGAGAAATCCATCATCGCCTATGCCACAGTTAGGAAACGTTCATTCAAGTTTGTATATAGGAGGGGGAGAGATTGGAATCAAATAGCTGAAGAGTTACAGGCAACAGTAGATAAGGTGATTGACTAGTGTACAGAGATGAGAGCTGTAATCAACCCAGAAAAGGCAACCGTCCTGTGGTTTTCTTTGGACAACAGGATTGTTAGAGCTGATATTCCCAGACTCAAAATAAATGGCAGGGGCATCAAAAGAGACAGCAGGCTACGGTACCTGGGAATCACCTTTGACAGAACTTTGTCTTTCAGGGATCACATAGAGCGGGTTGTGACAAGAGCTCATAAAGGTATAAAGGCACTAAAGATTATGGCAGCGATGGGCATGGAGCAGAGAATGCTGTTCACACTTTACCAGCACTCAATCATCTCAGAGATTGATTATGGATTGGTGTTACTCACTGTCTCTAAGAATCAACAAGAGAAACGGGAGTGCATACAGAATGAAGCTATGCTGGTGATCCTGGGATGTACAAGAGACACACCGATTATGTGCATGAGATACATCCTTGCATTGCCGACTATTGCAGATAGGCTAAAGGTGCTGCAGGCTAAGTCATACCTCAGAGTAGCTGCAGACAAATAACACTCTCTGTATGAAGCTTTGGCTGCAGGCAAGGGTCAGAGGCTAAATAGAGTTGGCTGAATAGGATGGCTCAAGCAGAAGACATAATAAGACAAGTATGCATGCTGGAGAACACTGGGCGAGGAGAGGAGTGGGTCAGAGTACCAGCAGGAAGTCTGACCTGTGTAGGGTTATGATAACATTGGGCCAGGTGGGCAGAGCATGGCCAGCGGGTGCTACGGAGGTTGAAGTCCAACAGTTGATTCACGACCATTCACGCCCAGGTGATCTGATTATCTATACAGATGGTTCAGTGTTGAGAGGAAAGAGAAGTGCCTGGGGGTTCGTAACGAAAGCCAATGGAAAATCCTTAGTGCAAGACAGCCTAGCATATGACACCACAACATCAAGCATGAGAATAGAGGTAGAGGCGGTAATTGCAGCTCTCCGGTGGCTAGAGAACAAGATGCATACACATGTCATAATTGTAACAGACCCTGATAGCCTGCTGAAAAAAGTGAAGACACTGATGCTTCAAGCAGAGTGGCTAGCTTCACTGTAAAGGTCACGGGTGGTGGGCATACTTTGGATCTTTTCTCCAGGCCATGCTGGCATGGTGGGTAATGAACAGGCAGACAGATTGGCTGGATCCGCACCACTGGGTGATGAACTGATACATGACAAGGCAGATGTGGTCAAGGCCCTTTGGGAACAAGCAACGGAATCAGTAGAGAAAGATGATTATTATGGCCTGGACAGAATGAGGCACCTGGGTGTAACCATAGGGTCTGGCCTGCTTACTACACTCAGAGGAAAGGCAAGATGGACTTTTAACAAGATTGTGACCGGTATCATCAGTACTGGAACTCTGCAGTGACTGCTGCAGATGAGGACGGAGCATGCATGGGAATGCCTCGAGTACTGTGATGTCAATTCTTGACTCAACTCATTCAAGTTTGTGAGAGATGCCAGAGTCATGAGAGGACCGGAGACTGGAAGCAACCACTATCTGGTCACAATAAAGAGAAAAACTAAAAGAACTGCTCCAACAAGGCAACACAGACAACCATGCAAGAAATCAAGCAACCAAGAAGGGATGAGGATTAAGGCATACAAGCTAAAAGAGCCAGATATTAAGGATAGATACCAGGAGCTTATAGTGAAAGCAATAGGAACTGAAGAAGAATCATCAGAGGACACTGAAACCCTCTGGTGCAGATTCAAGAATCTGAACATCAAGGAAGATTGGCTAATAAACAGCATCCTTTCCCGAAAATCAAAAATCAGCTGCAGTAGAAGCATGTGGTGAAGTCCCAAGTTGAACCCGGGGACAAAGAACACCTTAGTGGACGGAAGAAGTCAAATTGAAAATAGGAGAAAAGAAAAGGGCATGGAAGCAATACCTGGCAGCCAGGAACAAAGCTGAAGAAATAAAGAAATATAAACAATATGTGGCACTCAGAACCAAAGCTAAAAATATAGTGCTTAATGCAAAACAGAAATTATGGAAAGAATATGGAGAATGTTGGAAAAGAATACAAGTGAAAATCAAAAACTGTTCTACAAGACCTTCAAAAACACGAGGAAGGAGAAAGAGTGCCCGTTGAAATACATAAAAGACAAGGAAGGAGCTCCATTTACTACCACAAATGATATCATGGACAGATGGAAAGAATATTTCTCAAAGCTTATCTGTGTTGTGGAAAGTCATGGCGTAGAAATAACGGACCTCACTACTGAGAAGGAAATCATCCAGGGGGATGATAACATCAGTATGGAAGAATTGAAGGCAGCTATTGAGAAGATTAAGCTGGGAAAAGCAGCAGGTCACGATGGTATAACACAAGAGATGGTTAAACATATAGGAGTCACAGGTGAGCAACTTCTCCTGAAGGTTCTCCAGGCAGCCTCGTGTACTAAAACTATACCAAAAGATAAGGAGATTGCCATCAGTATACCTATATTTAAAAAGATTAATAGGAGACAATGTGAAAATCACAGCGGTATACCTTTCCTCAGCGTTCCTGGTAAAAGTTACTCTAGAATTCTTGAGCAGAGACTTAGAAGTCTGGCAGAACCACAGCTGGATCAGGCCCAGTGCAGCTTCAGAGCAAACCAAAGTACTCAAGACCTTATATTCACTTTCAGACAGATGAGTTAAAAAAGCTGGGTTTTAACACCCCTGTCCTTTTGGCAATTACAATTATGTGGTTATCCCTAGCATAACCCTCAGTGTGCTGCCACTTACAACACTGACTGGTGAAAACTGTCATAAACGCCAGGGCGGGAATTGTCCAGTAACCAGGGTATACCAGCATCTGACAAGGAAACGTGTATGACTTACCTGGGGTTCCCGCGAAGAGCTGCATGATGTAGGGCGTTGAAGCCATTGTTGTTGGTGATGGTGATATCGGCGGCATGTTCCAGAAGCAAGGCGATCATGTCATCGCGTTTCTTGCTGATGGCGTCATGCAGTGCTGTGTCCCCCTCTGAGTCCTGTAATAATTATATTTCACTCTGAGTTCCCAGCAGCTGTTATTTACTCATTTATCCTTAAAAGTAACTAATAACTAATAAATGTTTGGGTCCGCGGGAATCGAAATAATAATATTCCCTGTGAGGGTTCAGGGGCCTGGGGTGGGAAATAGACCCAACACCTCCTTAACAAGCACGTCATAAAAGTCGACTAATTAGGTGTTTCCTTCGAAGTCAGAGTTCATCTGCCTGAGATGCATGAAAACAGTCTGCATTCACATAAGCCAGATCTGTAAAATGGATGTGCACACAAAACTCAAATTCAGGAGTTTTGCATATTCATGTGGTTTTGTTTGATTTACATATGTGCTGATGAAGGCTCTATAGCCGCAACGTTCACATTTTGTTTGTTATATTGTGAAGCTTGCTGATCTACAAGGCCAAAAATATAGTGCTTAATGCAAAACAGAAATCATGGGTATAATTTGGAGAAATGTTGGTTTTATAGTTTACCATGATAAGTTCAGGAACAAGACTAAAGCCCAGAAGTGGATGGAGGTCAAACTAGAACTTTCCGCAGAAGTTTACAGCCAGTGAATGCAAAGAAGAAAGAAGAATAACAATATGTGAGAGAGAGAGAGAGAGAGAGAGAGAGAGAGAGAGAGAGAGAGAGAGAGAGAGAGAGAGAGAGAGAGAGAGAGGAGAGAGAGAGAGAAAGAGAGAGAGAGGGAGAGAGAGAGAGAGAGAGAGAGACACAGACAGACAGACAGACAGACAGACAGACAGACAGACAGACAGACAGACAGACAGAGATGGAGAGAGACAAAGAGAGGGGGGAGAGACAGACAGACAGAGAGACAAACAGACAGACAGACAGAGACTAGAAGAGACAGATCTGGAACAATGTCACAGGATTAAAAAAGTATTTTGTCTCGGAAGCTGAAATATTTTGCCATATCAAGCACCACGGACTGGTAAACATAGCAGATGGCATGGTACCAGGAAAGGGGGCAGGGGCCGACCAACATGAAAATGGGCACAGGCTATAAGTGACATCTTGGGTGGGAAAGTGCAAGAGACCGAATTTATTTTAGGCAGACCGCGATGACAGCAGCGATCTGCAAAGGACCTCCTTCGTAATGATGATGCTGGATGACAAGTCTTCACCTGCAAACTAAAATGCTACAGAAGTGCTTAGGGTTTCTTAGCAAAAGTTAATGGTCGACATTTGGTGCAGGAGAGCCTAGCATATGATACCACAACATCCAGCTTAAGAATAGAGGTGGAGGCGGTCACAGCAGCTTTCCGCTGGTTAAAGAACATGACACACACACACACACACACATCATGATTGTACCTGACTCAGAAAGCATGCTGAGGAAGGTCAGGACAGGTGTGCTTCGCGCAGAGTGGCGTGCTTCACTGTGGAGGAAACGGGTGAGGAGTATTGTCTGGATTTTTTCTCCAGGATACACCGGTGTGTTGAGAAATGAACAGGCGGACAGACTGGCTGGCTCTGCACAACTTGGTGGAATACTGATGCATGATAAGGTGAACGTGGTTAGTGACTTGTGGGAGAGCATGTACAGTTTGGAGGAGCAGATGGACCACCACAGTCTGGTGAGATTGATGCAGCGGGGAGGGAAGAGAGGTTCTGGCAGATGCTCGAGGCTCAGAGGGAAGGCAAGACAGACGTTTAATCAGAAAGCTACTAGCACCATAAGTATCGGAACTCTGCGCTAACTGCTGAAGATGGGGACGGAGTGCTTATGGGAATGCCCCGAGTGCTGTGATGTCGGTTCCTGAATCAACTCAACTCACCTGCAAACTGGGATGACTTCCAAGATCTAGGAGAGAACGGACCACTCCGATGTGGCCTTTGTTGACACCAATGTGAAGTGGTGTCTGCCTGCGTTTGTTGCGAGCATTCAGATCAGCTCCTCCGCGGTGCAACAACTCAATCACCGCTGGCTCATCGCCAAATGCTGCATGATGGACTGCCCTATCTCCATCTTTGTCCTGCGATGAGCAAAAGAAAATGGAAGCTGTATTCAGTTTGAATGTTTGTCACATACTGAAATAAACAAAGTTAAGAACCTTTTTCTAAATCCCTTTTTGACATTTTTTTCAGTCTGCCTTTATTCCTCGGCGTCTGTGACTGAGGCGTTTCAAACCCGCTTCATAATGCCGTGTTCAGAAAGCAATTTCAAACTACGTACATGTGTGTGCAGGTGTTGGGGAGAGAGAGAGACGGAAAGAGAGAGAGAGTGAGAGCGGGGGTGGGGAGAGTGAGTGAGAGAGAAAGTAAGAGAGAGTGTGAGAGAGGGGGAGGGAATGAGAAAGAGAGAGAGAATGAGAGAGAAAGAGATTGAGAGAGAGTGTGTGAGAGAGGAGAGAGTGAGTGAGAGAGAGAGTGAGAGATTGAGGGAGGGAGAGAATGAGCGAGACTCAGTGACAGAACATACCTCAACCTCCATATTGACATCATGCTTGATGAGGACCTTGATGACCTCAATGTGCCCATTCTGGGACGCAGCTTGAAGAGCCGTGTGGCCAGCAAAGACACCATTCACCTTTAGACACCAAACAAATTAGGTTATGTTACTCATACACAAAACATCTGCTTGTGGGATGAAATCTTTGGCTTTGTTAGGTTTGGTCTGCACACAGATACATTAGTCTCCTCCTACAGATAACATTAGGAGACATTTATAAAATGCAGAAGCTGTTATAAAGTTGTCCAGTGTGATTTCGGTGAAGGAAGGGCATAGGGGTGTCTAATCCCCCCCCCCCCTTCCACCCCAACAAGCATCTTGTAAAAGTTAACTAATCAGAAGTGTATCATTCGAAGTCTGCATGTGCCTGAGAAATCAAATCTGCATACAAATAAGACAGATCTGTAAAACAGGCGTGCATGCTAAACTCAGGTTCTGGAATACGGCTGAAGTCCAAACGTGGATGAACAATCAGAACTTAACCACCAGAGATTACAGCCAGTTAATGCGAAAAAGAAAGGTTTTCTCCTACAGATCAACCTGGGTGGCATTTCTAGAACACAGGTACTGTTATAAAGTCATTATCATTGTGACCCTTGCCAGAACACAGGTACTGTTGTAAAGTCATTATCATTGTGACCCTTGCCAGATGGCACAGACATTCATGTCTTTCCAAAGATCTGCTTTTGGTGATCGATGTAATGTGAATAAGAAGCAATACAATAACACATTTTGAGGGAAAAAAGGGTCATCCAGTCTCAACCTATCAAAAGTGAACAGAGTCTGGTCAAAGATGACTACCACCTCCTTGATCAGCATGGATAGGTCATCATTCTACATCTCAGAACAGGGTATAACAGGCTAACAAGTAGATGCACAAGCTTCATCTATGTCAGTGTTTCCCAAACTGTTCTTGGTCGCGGTGCCTGTTTCAATTAAAAAATTTTCCACAGCGCCCTAACCTAAGTAAAAATATGACTATTCGTGTCTCGGTTAAATTAATTATGAAGCTTTTACAATATTTTGCGGCGCCTCTGTGAAGAAGTTGCGGCACCCTGGGAGCCGCGGCCCACAGTCTAAGTAGTTGATCACACTGTGCCCATGTGGGCTGTGTGTGCACACTGCAGAACATGTCCTGCAAGAATGTCCCTTGTACAGCCCATTAAGAGAGGAATACTGATCAAATCAGTCAACATCATACTCAAAGTTGGATGGAACTAAAAGGCGCCTGCCTCGAGTGCTGGAGGTCCCGGGTTCAAACCCAGGTGAAGGCTGGGATTTTTTCACGTGGACTTCTAGTAATTTCCTCTGGTCTCTGGGTAGTAAGACCGGACGCCCGTGTATATTGCTGCGCACGTAAAAAATCCTTGGCAGTTGGAAATTTAAAAAAAAGTTTGCATGGGCAAAACTGGAGCTAAAAATCTACACAAAGTATTTCAGGATTCTCGCTAGTGCTACAGAGTTTGTGCACTGCGCTGAGATTCTTCAGACTCAGGCTTGAGTTAGAAGTAGAACGGAGCACTTATGGGTTACACCTGTGTGACCCATAATGTTGATCCGTTGAATAAACATAAGCTGAATAAGCTACAGCATAGTGCCTCATGATTTGCAGGGGCCTCAAACAATTCCCATTTCAGTAATGTGTGGAATGTTTTAACTTGTAACTTAGTGCCTTTTAGGTGACTATATATTATTTCTGTGATTTTGCAAGCACATTCTTTATTTTTTTGTCATTGAACAAAATAAAACAACAATATATTTCCATTATCTACATGCTTTAAAAGGCATTTCTATTTTAGTTTTCTGAGATTTGCTAGTGTAACTGAAAATGGTAGGGGCCTCAAACCTTCATATTTCTTAGGGCTTCATCAAGTCTAAATCCAGCCCTGCATGTTACCCAGTAGATACGTAACTGTTATTACAGGCCTACTTCTACACTATCTAAAGGTAATGTAAAGGGGAGAGGACCAACTTCATTGCACCGGGTTTTATCTCATATGGCTCAGTCTCTCTCTGCATAACAGCTAGCTGCCTTGCAAAAGTGTCACACACAGCACAAACTCTGAAGCTCCAGCTTCGATCCCCAGGGATTTCCGTAAAAATTGCACTCGTGAAATGAACAGCTTCGCCGTGAAATGAACTTCAGAGCGCGAGGCAAATGACTTGACCACTTGGCCACGGAAACCCCCTTCACACTATCTAAATAAGCTATGACAAGCTCAAGACTTACATCCGATTCCGACCGCTGCAGTATCTCATCAACTTTGACCCCATCGCCATTGGCTGCGGCCTTGACCAACTCTTCGTTGACATCACCTGACACATGAGTCTCAAACAGCTTCTTCAGAAGGGCACTCAGGCGTTCTATAGGTGATTTGTAAAAAATAACTATTGATACGAGCTCACAATATATAATACTTTCATAACATGTCTGTGAATTTCAATAATAAGGGTACAAAATATAACTGCACAAATTATTGCCTGGAAAACTTTGCCTAGTTATTTATCAAATTTTTTTAAATCTGCAGAGTTTGGTTGGAATTAGGATGGGTTAACTTGCGTTATGTACTTAAAAAGATCATGTGGTTAATCTAAACTCCCATGGTCAGATGTACAGTTTAACATGGACTATGTGATTTGTGTATTTCAGCTGACAGATTTCAGTTATGTGCTTTATTAATCAAGATAAACAATTATCCCCATAAACCTGTCGCATCGATTCAACTGTCTCAATGGCACTTTTTCTGAGTTTTAAACCAAATTTAATGTTAGCTTTTTGCTCCATGCAGATTTTGTAACAATGCAAATCTAACTAGGTCAATACAATGACAGCTGGTTTGTCGTATGCTTATCAGGTGGCGATGCAAAGTTGCCAGATCATAGATGAAGGTTGCCTCTTTGGATTCCATGCTTTGCTTCACAGATGAAATTTTTGTCTTGGCCATAATAATATCAGTCTAATTACTTAATTGTTGGACCTTGTATGTTGCTGTATAAACTGTATAGTATACACCTGAAGAGACACTGAAATTGAACAAGCAATTAACTGTGCAATATATATTGTTTGTATCCCCATTATTTAAATATGTTGTACAACATCTTATGGGCAGCCACCATGGTACAGCGGCTAGATGCTCACCTGCAGTTCAAACCCTAATGAGCCAGACTAATAAAAATGACCTTGGCTACAAGGTCGACCCAGCCTTAAATGGGTACCAGGTAAAGTCCTGGGAAGTAAAGGTGGCTAGCATCATGTTTACCACAACATCCACCAAGTGCTGACCGGTCTATAAAATATAGGTTTAGAACAATACGCCCAATACGGATGTGGTGAAGGGGGAGAGGGGGGGTGTGGTGAAGGGGGGAGAGGCAGTGAGTCAATTATTTCTTTCCCCCCGAAACAGAGCCCCAGAATGCACAAGAGGAAGAGAGGAAGTAAAGAAAAAAAAAAGCTGGGGAAGACATGGAGCACTTAACACAAAAAGATAGAATGACCTGACATGAGTTGGTTGAGGGCCTAAGCTCCACTAGGAAATAAAAAACATTAACAATGAAGACTTTAACAATGTCTTCTTCTTTCAAAGCTAAAAAACATTTCACGAGACGCCAATGTGTGTGTTGAGGAGGGAACAACAGCACCTATGGGTGTGTCTGGAATTAGTTTGTTAGTCTTTCCTCTTGAGCCTAGGGTGGCACATATGGTAGAGGTCATAGCTCTCCATGCCAGGCGGTTCGTTGTCACCTGATTTAGGTCTTGGATGTAGATTAGGCCCCTCACTGAGCCTTAGTTGATGATGGTTCTAGGCAGGGTCTTTCTTGGCCTTTCCTATTTCCTTTTCCTTTTAGTGTCCTTATGAGGACTTGGTGGGGGTGGGGGGGGGGGGTGTCTTATCTTATCCATTCTGAGTGCATGGTGGCACTTTCTTATGAAATTGATACCTTATCTTGCTTGCCTTCTTGTCTTATTTGCATATTGAATCTGAAATCTGTCCAGTGAAGACTCAGTAATCTTCTAAGATACCAGTGCCAAGGGGATAACCCAACTTATAATTTATATCTTGTTATTGTGAATATTCAATTTACCATCAACTGTAGCACATGCATAAGTTGAGTTTTCACACCTAAACAAATTTTACCAAAACTGGGGAGGTGATTAATGTGGTGGGTATAAAATGTGGTCGACACACTTTTTCCCAGTTGAAACTACGCAGATTTCTTGTCGAGACTGTCGTTTCTCGATTGTGTTGAGGCGCCTGTGCACGAGGCAGAAGTACTGCAGGAAGGAATGCCAAAGGTGCGACAGTTTGTAGGTATCAAATCACTGATGTTTTTGTATATCTGCTTATCTGAATATAGGACAGCCTGTGAGAACGAATGCAAAAGCATGCAGGTGAGCGAGATAGGGTTAGATTTGTGAGTTGCACCTTTTTTTTTTTTAACCTGTCATGCTGCAACAGATATGACCCAAACACATATTGCAAGCATCAGCAATCAATTTCATATGTATTTAGTGGCCAGTGAAACGCTATTAAATGGCACCCTGAGTCACTAAAAGTACATTATTAGATCTGACCCAAAATTCAAATAGAAGCATTTACTTCTTCAAAAGGTAACATTATTTTGTTCCAATAAATGTTGTTCATAAATACATTCTGGACACAGGCTGCCACAAGAGAAAATACAAGAAGTAACTTGGTCTCTATAACAATACAAAAAATACACGTGCAAGCTGGACATGAATGATACAGGTATTCAGGTGGACCTGTGGGAATAATATACTATGTACTGTGGTCCTTGGGCGGCGTCCGTGGCTTAGGCGTTGCGAGTCTGACTCGTAATCCAGCGTACCGCGATCGAAACCCACTGCTGGCTGCGTGGATTTTTATCATGGTACGGGGCGTCGCAGGTCAACCCAGCCTAAAATGGGTACCAGGATGGGCTGTCCTAGGAAAGTAAAGACAGCCGGCGTAATGCTGACCACATTACCCACTGAGTGCTGATGGTCTGTAAAAATATGGGGAGCTCTTCCCATATGCCCAGTATGCCTATAGGCATGGAAAGGGATCTTTACTTTTTTTTTTTTTTTACTATGTTTCTTGGAGTGAGGAAAATCAGGTAGGGATAGGGATAAAGGAGATAATTATTAGTGATTAGTAATTAGAAAGGATTATCATCACAGCATTTCGGACAGATCCATAGATGCTCTGATCTCCTCCTTAAAAGCTCCACAAGTGTAAAACGACTGATGACGCCAGTTCTATGTTGGTTATTGAAATATCTTGTCCCCTGAGTGAAATGTTTATGTCTTGCAACTCCAGGCTGCACCCCCATGTCCATAAGTCTAGACAGGGATACGGAGTCATGTCCTTTGGTGTGCTCCTAGGTACAGTAAGTGCAGCGCATGGCATTGATAACATCACTTCTGTCCAGTACTGGGCCAGTTATAGCAACTGCAGTATCAGCAAGATAGTCTGCATGCTCGTTCCCTTGAACACCTGCATGACCTGGCACAAAGATGAAGGTTAGGGCAGATATTCGTGAAGTGCTTTGTGTTTCAATTCATTCTTCCCTGATAAATCCAGCTTGGATGCTGGAGATAATTATTGCAGACAGCAATAAGAGCTGAGCATCTGAGAAGAAGTAACAAGGGCCTCAAAATCCCACGGAAAGGTACCAACAAAAAACAAGCTTTAACATAAAGAGTTCTTGCCTCCAGAAGAGCAGCCTATAGCAGCTCCATCTGCCGAGGCAACCTTGGTAACTGCCAGAGGGTTGTAGGTCCAAGAGGTTCCGCACACCTCCACCTTGAGATCGTTGTCATGGTAGATCTGTTGCACTCTGCCAATTTTGCCTAATGTCTGTAAAAAAAAAAAAAAAAGTTACTTGTTTATTACTTTTTTTTAAGTTGTTTACTGTGAGAAGGAAGCTGCTATGATGTAGTGGCTGAATGCTTGCATGTGTATCAAAAAGTTGTGGGCTAAGAATCTGATGGAGCCCGACTTTCTGCAACAATGACTTTGGCTTCCAGGTCGGCCCAGTCTTAAATGGCTACCAGGTACAACTCCTGGGAAGAAAAGGTGGCCAGCATGGTATTGACTATATCACCCATCAAGGGCCAGTCTAAATCTAGCCCTATATTCCCAACAAACCTAAAGGCCTGGGAAAGGGTAATTTATTTCCGCTACTTACTGTGAGAAACTCCTGGGAAGTAAAGGAGGCTGGAGTTATGTTGACTACACCACCCACTGAGTGCCAGTTGGTCTCTAAAAGATCTAGCAACATATACCCAATGTACGACTAGCCCAGAAATAATCCTTTATTTTACTGACTTACTGTAACAGTCGGCGTCTGTGGCTTAGACATTGTGAACATGTTTCATAATTCTGGGGTACCTGGTTTGCTTCCAAATGCAACCGATTTGGCAGCAGACCGCCTTGTGTTGATTTTGTTAGGGGTATCAACAGCCAACTGTTCAGAAAGCAATGGCAAACTACCGAGCGTAACATTGCCTAGCAAAACCCCAGATGCTAGGGTTGGTTCTGCAGCGTCCTGTAAAGGATCCGTATCTAACTTAACTGTAACAAATTATCATGCTGGAAGCGGTTTTCAAACATTATTTTGTCTTTTGTCCATTTTCTACTTTGTGCCACCAGGCATCGCAGGTTAACAGATGATCAGTTTCCGAGCTAGGAAATAGCGCGGTTGCCGCAAATGCTGTGATGTTGTGGAGTCTCAAAGTATCAGTAACTCCTTCAATCCATTTTCTTCTTTGTCGTCCCTGTCTAGTGGTGTTTCTACTGTCAAGTTGTACGCTGTCATTGCTGGCATAATTGGATTCATTATTAGTAAATGGCCAAATCATTTAAGTCTTTGTTTTTCAATGAATTTAATCTAAAGGCATTGTTCCTATAGTTCTTGCCTTTCCTTTGAGTGCAGAGTGTCAGACAGATTCCCTTGGTCACTCACGATTCTCTTCGGATCGTGATATCTAGTCCATTTTCTTCGTCACTTTCACCATCTGTTAACTCAAGCGAAAAGCTCTAGTCGTTAGTCCACTTCTAGACTCTACTCCTGTCCCAGAACCTGAGTGTTGCATGGACATCTGTTTTACAGACATAACCCATTTGAAAACAGGCTGTTGGTTCCTTGTCTCTCAGGCAGATGCACTCCAACTTCAAAGAAAGTTCCTAAGCAGTCGACTCTTGCGACCGGGTTTTTGTTTGTTTGGGGTAGGCAGTGGGTTTATTCTTGTTTTCCCAAAAATTGGGCCCTGGAGCCCACACGGGGAGATAAGGTCATTGTGTTTCCGCACTGTTCACTCGCTCCCAAAGGGTCCTGACAAATCTAGCTGGCCATGCATCAGTTTACCATAGAGTGGTGAAGAGCCAGCCTGTCTTTCTGCCTGTTCATTTCCCATCCCACCTGCATTCCCTGGAGATGCTAACTACTCAAGGACCAACACTACTCCAAAGAAAAGGTAACACCAAAATTACAATTATAAGAGTCCAGAATAAAGAAACTACTTACGGGCAACATTGCCTCTGCCCACTCCCCGTGTCCCCTCTGTAAGACCTTGATTCTTTCAGTGTCGCTGCAGATCTGAACCAGGTCCCCCACAGCAAACTGGGCAGTTGTGCTGGCATCACTGGCAATGGATGTCGAACTACCTGCAGTGCTGACTTTAGTCAAGACAGCTGGGTTGAAGGTCCATCTATTCAAAGCAGAAAAGAAAAGATATTAGGTTTGGTATGTTTTAAGTGATGCCACATTTTGTTTAAAGAGATTTAATCCTCTTCTTCTTTCATCTATAGTCCCAGTGCTTATGCTGTAAGTTAGTTGTAGTTTCCTTTCATTTGCTAGTTGCATTCATTGTTCATTTTAAAGATCATCCACTTTGCACATCTGACATGACCATAAGTGCTCCAATCTCCTCCAGAGTATGTCTCCGAGTGTTTTAGGCCAACAACTCCCATTCTGTTCTAGCTGATGTAACGACGGATGGCTCTCGTATGGTTTTCCTGTCGCGCAGCTCCAATTGGTACACCCAGGGTATGCAGTCTATTAAGTGAAAAATCATTCTCCGCGAAACTGAAAGCCTCAGAGCATTTAGTCTCTTGTATGGCAGTGATGATGTCTCTCCTGTCCATAGAATAGCTCATTCCTGATAGTCACACTACCAACTAGGGTGTCTGCTCTCTCACTGAGTTTCACACCAGCATATCCTAGGACAAAAATGAAGGTGATTTTGTCAAATTCTGCGTGCTGTATCAGATGGAGCTACTGTTTCCATATATACCCCACCTTGATCTTCTGTAGCATACTCATTGAGTTGCTGAGCAAACATGCATTGGTGAATTCGTGACTTCTAAGCCATTCTAGGGCCTTTGTCACAGCCACGACCTCCATTGTCATGCTGCTGGTGGTAGAATAAAAGGCTCCTCTGTCTTCTTTGATGACTTTCCCTTTGGTTCTTGTCGTGAAAGCCCGTGCTTTTAACTTCTGACGAATCACAGAACCATCTCTATATATAACAGCATCATCCGGTAATGTGTGTCCCTCTACTAATGCTTTCACTTCTGCATCAACTATTGGTGGTGCCAAATCCTGGCAATGTCTTGTCAGGGTGATAACCACCACAAAGTACTGCTTGTATTCATTTGGTATGGGTGTCTATTCCTCTCCATGATTAATGTCTTGAAGGAAAACCACCCGCTAAAGTTCTGTCTCTACTTAGCCCAACAAAGACTGGCCTCGTTTAAGTCTGTTGCCTTTACCTGTATTCAGTTCATCGTATAGTGGGCGTGGAAGGACCTCAGTGATTCTGAGGTAGGCACAAGCTTGGCATATTATAAACCTGCTTTTTGATTCTGGAAGATCTAGTAGGTTTCTCACTCCTCCACATGATGTATCTTTGGTGCAGCCAAGTACGATATGCATTGCTTCATTGTGTGCCTTTTCCAGTCTGTGTGTCTTGCTGGGTGTGAGGATTGCCAGTGCATATTCCATGACAGAATCAAACCCTGGTAGAGGATGACTAACAGCCTTTGTTGACCACACAGGGCAGCCATAACTCGCATTGCAGACAAACTGTTTCTGGCCTTGTTGATCATACTTTCAATTTGAAATCTGCAGCTAATGCTTCGATCAAAATTTACTCTCAGTTATTTTAAAAGTTCAGTACTTGCTATCTCTTCACCATTCATAAGCACAGAGGGCGTTATTGTGTGAACTATGTGGTTGTTCAAAGAGATCCAAGTTGTGGTCGCTTTTGCAGGGTTAACCTGTGCTCCGGAGGTTTAACACCAATCTGTTACGTGTACCAGGTCCTTCTGGAGTTCTTCTACAATTCTGCCCCTGTTCTTGCCTTGGCAGTACACAAGTATGTCTTCAGCGTACAAAAGTGTTCTTCCTTCACCTGTGATTTGATATTTTGTCACCTCAATAGTGAGAATATTGAAGAGGACTAGGGATAAATGTGATCCCTGGGGCAATCCTGGGCGTAGACTATGGTTTTCAACTAGTAGCTTTGTTTATATTAATGTCATGTTGCATAACATCATAGAACCTCTACAACAACATGATGTGCCTTTGTCGAGGTGGTGGCCAGAAGGGCAAGATACAGAACCTAGGGCTCCAAGGTTGACCCAGCCTAAAATGGGTATCAAGACATGTCCCAGGCAGTTACAGGCAGCTGCTACAACTGTTTACCATATCATTTAACTAGTGTCGATTGGTCTACACAAATTGAGTCAAGCAGCATCTGCTTAATGTGCCCATTCTTCCCCATGGTTACTTTAGCTCCTTCAATTTCTAAAGAATCAAATGGTTTTGTCATTTGGTCAGAATGGAACAAAATCAGCCAGCATCTAGATTGAGCTATATGAGAAGAGCAGGATACAAGGCAAGAGGTGGACTAAAAAAGAGATGGCTGGATAGAGTGCAAGAGACACTTTAGAGATGCAATTTGACATTAACACAAACTACACAACTAGCAAAAGACAGGACACTGCATTTGACTCATCTCTGCAACACTTTACGGCATAAGCAGTCAGAAAAAAAAGAAGAAGACAAAGACTGCAAATAGATATTAATTTTTAACCCCTCTAGATACAACAATGATTAGTTTAAAGCAACAACTTCTATAGACAGAATGAGTTAAAGCATTCAATGTCAGGGTCAGAAGAGTCAAAAGTTTTGTTTATTTTTTTTTCTGGCTACAGCTGAGTGTTACCACACCTTTGACCTGCTCCTTGCTGAAGCAGTCTCACCAGGTACAGACACTTGGATTTGTTGCACTGCCCATCTGATCCCAAAAGACACGTAAAGTGATTGCATTTAACTCTTTCACTATCAAAGGGCAATTAATTTATATATAAATCAACGAATGATTGCATTTCTTGGTATATAAAGAGTTGAAACAATAATCAACTGTGTTTACTGATAATTTCCTAACAGCATAAAAACGTACTAAGGATACATAATGGGTGGCTGTTTGCATGACGGCTTGCATGTGTGGTCTCTGTTGCTAAATGGTTAAACCATTTTCCCCATGCCCTTGAGGTCATAGGTTTCTTTAATGACTACATCATCTGGTTCATGAGTGCAACTTTCACGCAGATCATGGGGGATTATCACTGGAGTTTTCCCATGTGGGTTCCAGGGGCTCCATGTGGGGAGGGGGCGTGAACACAGGCACACTGCCGCCTTAACAAACATGTCACAAGAGTTGACTAATTAGGGGTGTTTGCTTCAAATCTCAGGGTGCATATGCCTGAGAGGCAAGGAACCATCAGTCTGCACGCAAATAAGCCAGATCTATCAAATGGATGCACATGCAATACTCAAGTTTTGGAACAAGACTAAAGTCCAGAGGTGAATGAACGACCAGAACTTTCTGCCGGAGTGTACTGCCGGTAAATGCGAAGAAAAAGAAGAAGAATCACTGGAGTTATATGGGGTTCATGCTTTGAACAATGGTCTCTGCATTCTACATAGAGAGAACAAGCCATATGAGGGTGGGGGGGGGGGGGGGTGGACCAGTAAAATGAAGTTCAACATCTCAACTATAAAATTTTTCAACAATAAAGAAATCTATTATTTTTACCTGTTACCACTTGGGTATGAAACGACAATATCATGGTCCTCATCAATTCCCACTACAGTCCCTGTTGTACCCAGACACTGTGAGTCAAAACAAAACACAATAGCCATAAGAATTTTACCAGTGACATTTCAAACGAAATACGAGATAAAGTTGGCACATAACTAATTCTAAATTATATACAAAGACAGCAAATCAAATGGTTTGCCCACTTGGAGAGAATGTCTTATGATGCTATACCACACAAGGCACATTCCAAAAGAAGAGAGGGATGAAGAGCAAGAGGTAGACCAAGAACATTTAGGAAGATAACATCAGAGAAACTCTACAGTACCATAATGTGTCTATGGTCGAGGCAGCCAGAACAGCATGAAGCAGGACCTTATATCTCCTTCGTAACCTGAAGTGGTAAAAGAGGACGTAGAGAAGAAGTAGAAAATAAGAAGAAGAAGACATTTCAAAATGAATTAAGGGATAAATTAAGAATTCACATCAGTGCATTCAGAACATTCTCCCACATGCCCCCTCCACCTCCTCAGTAGCCAACGAAGAATTCCCACACCGTTGGTGCCAGCTGCAACCTGATTAAAAGTTAACCTATTTTCTGCCTGCAGGAAGGAAATCCTCTAGACTCTCAGCTCACTCACAGCTGGATCATTCTCTCTAGATATGGATACTCTGTCTCTGTTGCAGTCACTTATCCCCGACAGCCTTCACACTGCCTGCTTTTTCATAAAGTAGCTCAATGCCCAGAAGGGCAACAGCAGCCAATCTTTCAGCCTGCTCATTTAGCGCGCACACCTAGCCACTTTTAATTGCAAGGACCTTTCCAGGTACCTATTTCAGACAGGGCCATTCTTAAAAATCTCCCTGAGGATTCAAACCTACAACCACGAGAGAGGCAAGCACACCGACCCCTGAACTACCATGGGCTTCTTTTTCTTCTACATTCAACCTTAAAAACGTGGTTAGCACGATGTGTTGAGCTAGGCTGTGATATCTACACCAAACACATTTCAGCAAATCCCTAATTAACTGCCTTTTATCCCTTAATGACTTGCTTGTTAGTGAAGCAAGGGTCTTTTCTCCTCCATCTCACACCCCCCCCCCTCCCCCATGGTGGCCCTGTTACCCATATGGGGAAAATAGCCTTTCTCCCCCCTACCCTTCCTCCCTCCTCCAACAAGTTATTACATACCTCAAACATGCCGTCTGTCCAACCGCCATGGCCGTGCTGAAGAGACTGCACAATCTCCAGCTCCAGATCCACGTTCACCTGATCACCAATAGCCAGACCGCATGGTCCCGAGCGTGACCCGGGGCCTTGTTCACCTGTGAACCATCGAGAAATTTGCCTCTGAGAAAAATTCATGTACACCAGTGGTTCCTGATTAAATAAGACCTGACAGTGTCCTTCTTATTTTCAAACGTTTGCTACATGGACCTCATACTTTCTTATAGTCATTTTTTTAAAAAATATATGTGTAAATCTAAACTGAGGAAACATCAGGAGAGCTAACAGACTGAAATGGCTGGGCTATACTGAGAGAACACCAGATGACAGAGAGGTAAAAACTATACACAAGGAAGCTGAATGGGCGTAGACCATGAGGCAGACCAAGAAGACGATGGAGAGATAATGTCCAGACAGACCTGCAAACAATTGGTGTCACCAAAACTGGAAAGAGAGGACCAGCTAAAAAGATGAATGGATACAGATTATATCTGTAGCAATGAACCAAAGAAGGAGGTCCAAGAGAAACCTCAAAGCCAATGTTGAAGAGAGAAGCCAAAACTGCTGGCCTAGATTCCATTCAGGATATGGAAGAGACTGCCCGGGACAGAATGGATTAGAGCAGTGGCACTCAACCTTTCTAATGCCGTGCACACTTTAATACAATTCTTCATGTTATGATGACTCCCAACTATACAATTATTTTCGTTGCTACTTCATAACTTCAGTAAATATGTGTTCTCCGATAGTCTCTGGCGACCCCTATGAAAGGGTTGTTCGAAACAAAAAAGGGTCGGGACCCACAGGTTGAGAATCGCTGGAACAGAGGAACAGACTGTGAGTCTTGTGTCACACAGAATGTCTGGCACAACAGGGCAGTGGGTGATTAGCGTTTAGTGATCAGAAAGGATTATCATCACAGCACTCCGGACGGATCCATAGATGCTCCGATCTACTCTCTCAAAAGTTCCACAAGTGTAAAACGACTGATGACGTCTGTTCTGTGTTGGTTAATGAAACGTCTTGTCCCCTTAGTGAAATGTTCATTTCTTGCAGCTCCAGGCTGCACCCCCATGTCCATCAGGACAATGGGTGAATGAATTAATGCAACTTTGGCAGCTCTTCTAAAACATCTCATTTCTGCAGTTATGGCCTTTGTTCAGTAGTTGTATTAAGGATCTATGCCTGACACTGGTAGCAAAAGGTTGGTCACCCAAAAATAAGTTTCAATTAGATTTGCCTTGCCAGACAACAGTATTCCTCTATATCACATCTCAGCACGGACACAAGAACTCTGCAGTTCCAGGGATGAGCAAGCGGACCTACTGGCAAGCAATGCACCAATGCACGCTGGAAGAAGCATAGACAGAGCAGATATTATCAATACTGTACATACTGGGCTAGCGGATAATGACATATCTCTGACACTAACACAATTGTGTGACCTGGGAGTCAAGTATGGTGAAGCACAATTTGCCACCTTCGAGGCTGAAATAGGACACACTTGAACCATTAATCATGGAAACATTGACTAGAAGTACCCTGAAGTGGCTGCTGCATCGCAAGACTGAGGACGCAGGGAAACGCCTAATAGATATTGATATCGATTGTGATAACACAACATCCCTCTATGTGACAAAATAATTACAGTCTGAACAAACAATATGCAACATTACAAATAAACATACCAAGCAGAGGTAAATGATCTCTGTAAAAAGATCCTCCTTTGGCATCATTCATCACTTTCAAGTCGGCCTGTAAATACAAAAGTCACTGACAATAAAAAACTGACTTATTGTAATTCCCCTAGGCTGCTTTCTAAAGGTTTGTGAGGCTATCAGAAATACAGCTACGTGGTTTTTGTGCATGTGTGTGTATGTATTCTTATTCATATTTGGGGTGGGGGGGGTGGACTTGAGGCATGGTGTTCGCTAGAGGTTCCGGGTTCAATCCCCGGTAAGGCGCTGGGATTATTTCACATGGACTTGGACTTCTAGTAATTCCCCCTGGTCTCTGGGTAGTGAGATTTGACGCCCGTGTGCATTGTTGCACACCTAAAAAATCCCTTGCCAGTTGGAAATCAAAAAGAGTAGCCTAACGGCACTGCCCAGGCAAAATTTGAAGTTAAAAATCTACCCAAAGTATTTCAGGATCCTCGCCAGTACTACAGAGCCTGTGCACTGTGCTGAGCTTCTTCGGACTTAGCCTTGAGTTAGAAGAAGAACGGAGCACTTACTACCCGTGTGTCATGATTCTGATCCGTTGTTCAAAACCTCAAACCTCTTATTCATATTTGTGGTACTGTAGATTTATGTGCTGATGAAGGCTCTCTAGCTGCAACATTTATTTGTTGTTTGTGTTTGTGATACTGTGAAGCTGACTGCTTCTACTTTTTGTCTGCATGACATCTTTTCACGCTACCTAAGTGATTCAAATAGTAACAATTCCACACATGGATTCCAGAGTGCAATTTTGGTAGCAGGGGGGGCAGGGGGGGTAGACCTATTGCCTCCATAACAAGCGGGTGATTAATTATGGGTGTTTCTTTCAAAGTGGGAGTGCATCTGCCTGAATGGCAAGAAACCAACAGTCTGCATATAAATAAGCCAGCTCTGAAAAATGGACGTGCCTGCAAGGCACTCAAGTTCTGGAACAAGATCAAAGCCCAGAACCTTCTAGCAGGCCAGAGTTTACAGCTGGTGATACCACAAAGAAGAAGAAAAAAATGAGTAACAACACGGGTACCTGTTAAACAGGACAAATCCCAGATACCCTACTGAGATGTTATAATTATGCTCCCTATATGTGGGACAGTGGCTTCCAGCAACTTTCTATTTCTCAAATCATATTAAAATCTGTTTCACGGTTTATTTAATATTTATTAAAACAACATAAACAAGATTGCAATTGTAAAAGTACCAAATAAATGTCATAAAGAATATGTAATCACAAGCATAAGTAACTTACCATTCCTTCAAACCCCACTCTGTATAAATTTTTAGCTCCATTGTCCCAGAGAACGTGTGCTGCGCTGCGAGGACTCGAGGCACTCCAGTCCTGGTTATAGAGGAGACATGAAATACAGAGTGTATAAGAAAATCATATTGTAGGAGATTGTGATAAACTTGAATGAATAACTACCTAAATGATAATTATATGCAGCACTGTGGCTTAGAGATTAGTGAACGTGCTTAACAATTTCATGATGCTCCAGCAGGACCAGGGTTCTTCTTCTTCGCGTTCACAGGCTGTAAACTTCGGTGGGAAGTTCTGGTTGTTCATCCACTTCTGGACTGTAGTCCTGTTCCAGAAAATGAGTCTTGCATGCACATCCGTTTCAGGGTGACAGGCATAATGAATTATATAAAAGGTTGTAGTCCTAGTCTCCGCCTGCACTATCACAATTCATCACCACACTTTCACAATCTCGTCATCATCTAGTACCCTGCCAACTGGCGTCAGTGATCCATACCCTGCGATCTCCAACAGCATGTATAATTTTCTGGTGCCCCTCTCAGTCAAGTCAGCAGCCTGTCCTTTTCAGAACCTTGCTCCCATAACAACCTTATGGAAAACTTCTCGATCACAAGCAAGATGTCCTGCGTCTGACACACCAATCTGGAGATCATCCGCCACATCCTGTACCCATCTTCTCTTTGGCCTTCTTTTTCCTCTCTTCCCAGGCATATACCCCTCCATGGTTCTCTTTAAACTTTCGTGACATTTCAAGTGACCAAAATATTTCAATTTTCTGTGTTTTATCATTTTTAACAGCCAATCTTCTTCAATATTCAGTGCCTCTGTACACTATGATTAAAAAGTAACAAGAATTCTCCATCACTGTCATTCTCCTATCTTTTCATACATGCCTGTATGTATGTCCAGTTATTCCAACAAGTTCAATTTTTCTCTCACAATTCAGAATCTATTCAATGAAGTAATACAATTTAATTAATGTCATAGTGGCCTGCAGAGACAATGGTGGAGGGTATAGTTTCTAAAATAAAAATTAAAAATTAAAAAATTAAAAAAGAGGCAGAGGTAGACCTATATGAAAGTGGATAAAAGACATTGAAGATCATTGGCTACGAAACAGGGTTGGAGAATTGGCTAGAGAAAAAGAGACTTTCAGGTGTGCCATGACAACAATGATGTTCTATGAGGAACCTGCTGGCTGATGATGATTGAACACTTCCTTTTTTTCTTCCTCTTCTTTTTCGCATTCACTGGCTGTAAACTCTGGCGGAAAGTTCTGGTAGTTTGTCCACTACTGGACTGCAGTCCTGTTGCAGAACCTGAGTGTTGCATGTGCATCGGTTTTACAGGTCTGACTAATCTGTATGCAGACTGTTGGTTCTTGCCTCTCAGGCAGATGCACTCCAACTTCGAAGGAAACTCCTAATTAGTCTACAACATGCTTTTGAGTAGGCAGTGGGTCTGTTCTTGTTTTTCCTATAATAGGACCCTGGAAAACACATTGGGACGAACACATCTGAAAGAATGTCTTATCAATCACAATTCATCACAACAAAACAAAAAATCAGAAGCCAAAGCCATTTACTTGTATCTCAGTGACTTTCCCTCTACGGCCATTCCCCCCATCCTGGTCTTCCCACTGCCAGTCCACACCTCTGACCACTCTAGCTCCAGGAAATATACCTCGGGCTGTGATCTTCTTGCTCTTTCGCCGTGGCTCCAACAGAACTCTGCATGCATTGAAATGAACAGATGACATTATTGCATGGCTGAACATATATTAGTTAGTTAATTAATCAAACGATCAACCTTCTCACACACCAGAATTGTTCCTTCAAAGTCGAAAAGCATCTGCCTGAGAGGCAAAAGACCAATAATCTGCATGCAAATTAGGCAGTCCTGTAAAATGAGTGTGCATTCAAAACTCAATTTCTGGAACAAGATTAAAGTTTAGATGGGGATGAACAACCAGAACTTTCCAACAGTTTAGAGTCAGTGAACAAGAAGAAGATACTTGGGAAAAGTCTGTAAGCAACTGGATGCCATCTTCAGTATCTCCCTCAGTGTTCTACAACTGCTAACATCAGTTCCGTGTTGGTTTACTACTTCTCTTTGGCTACCTGCACAGTGTGCATGTCTGGCAACACCTCTTTTGACATGAAGTTCTTGTAGTCTTGTTAAGGTTACCGATTCAGTGCCATCTTCTAAATCATCTTCTCGTTCTGCCTTCTTGAGAGCACCAAGAACATGCGGCCTGGTCCACTGATTTTCCTGTGCCTACCATAACCCTGCCAGCAAGCAAATCCACTCATTCATTCCCTTTTACCCCCCAGAGTGTCAGATAAGATTTCCTTACACAGACTCCGACCACTGCCTTCGAACCCACCCTGTCTCAATTTTCTTTAGAATGTTCATGGAATTAGAAAGCTAGCATGGGAAAACCTCTGTATCTCTAGCCAGGTCATTTTTCTGGGGTTACCTGTGCCCAAAAAAATGGTGGAAAGGACTGTTGCATCATAGCAACTGAAACATGGCTGGAGGCAGGAAAATAAGTAGAACCATGTGCCTGCAAGGGCCTTACTTCACAAAATACAGGTGTTAGGACTTATGCAAGATTCATCTATAAAAAAAAAATGCACCCAAATTTTTCTAGTTAATTATGTTTGTTTCCAAGTTTAATTTTTTTTAAAAACTGCTTGCAAAAATTATGCAAATCAGACTAATGTGAATAAATATTGACATTTCAGTTTGATTCATAAATATTCTTTTAGTTCATTTAATTACCTACACGAATACATAAAGTTCTGTACATGTTAATTAAATGCTTAATTTTTTTATAATTTTTGGTGTATAAACTATGAGAATACCCTTCTGAAGATTCCGTCTTCTTGGCACCAAAACTCCAAAAAGGCTCCATCTCCAAAGGGTTAACAATACATGGAAGTCAAACTCAGATTATACAATGTTTTAAGAACATTGTTATACAATAGTGAGTGTTGGGAAATGGCAGCTGGAATTAAACCAAAGATGACTTTTTAAAAATGGCTAAGAAGAGTTCAGCTATGGCTAAACAAGATCACACATGAAGAACTGAGAAGGAAAACAAAATGTTCATCGCTGGCAGATGCTATAAAAAAAAAATATGGAGATGGTGTGAACACATTTGCAGGATGCCTCATGACACGGACAAGAACAGCACTGGTAGATGGTAGATGGATAAAGGAGACATGGATAACCACAGGAAACCTGAAGAAGTGGAAAGAGAAATTTAAACTGACATGGAAATATCATGGACGGTAGTCTACGGTTTCGCTACTGAGTTTAGTGCTTGGTGCAGACGTGAGAGCTGTGTTTTTTCCTGTGGAGTGACTTTCATTTGTGCAGCGGTTGTGACCTGGTGTTTAACATGGCTGGTAGCTGGTTTACACGTGAGCTGATGGAATACCTTATGTAGTAATTCTACGTGTGTACGACCAACTTGTCATGCTGACTACTTCCATCAACATCTGGTGGCAACTGTCGGACTGGGCGCCTTTAGCAACTGAAATGTGCATTTACTGCATGCGCATATTTCTGGATTGTTCCGGGTCTAATTGTTCTGTTCACCAGTTTTTCAAATGCGACAGTGGAGGGACATTTCATTTGATTTGCACCGGCACAGGAGCAGAGCAAGTATGGGGAAATCCCACTGCGGTGAAGTTGAAACCTCGACTAAGACCATGGGCAGAAAATCAGCAGACCAACAACAATGGAGATCATCTGAGAGTGCATTTAGTGTCAATAATGATGAAGAGGAACTAGAAATCAAGCAAGTATGTGGTAAGAAATTATTTAACCCTTTCACCTCATGAACGCTAAAACTAAAAAGGGGCAATGAACCAGTAGGAATTCCCTAAAAAAATTGTCAACAAAGCTTTTTACACAGATAATTCTTCTTCTTGGTGTTCAAGGGCCGTAAACTCTGGCGGAAAATTCTGGTTGTTTGTCCCCCTTTAGTCTTTAGCCTTGTCCCAGAGCTTGAGGGTTGATTGTGTGCACGTCCATTTTATAGATCTGACTTATTTGTTTGCAGACTGTTGGTTCATTGCCCCTCTATCAGACGCATTCCGACTTCGAAGGAAGCCCCCAATTAGTCGACTCTTGCGACATGGATGTTGGGGAGACAGTGGGTTTATTCTTGTTCTCCCCACAGTCAGGACATGGAACCCTCATGGGGAACACAGGTAATTAATAAATCACTTAACAATTATCTAAATTTTTTTTTTTTAACAATACAAAGATTTATAATGGGAGTAATCAACTAACATGAACAGAGTCAAGATTAAACACAATGCATTTCCTTGTGCCTAAAATACAGGAAAATGTTAAGTCAACCTGGCTTTAAAAAATACTATTTGATTTACCTAAAAACAAAAATTTTGGCTTATCCTTTAACAGGACGGTGCAGAACCAACCCCAGCAATTTTTGGCTGTTGTGGTTTTTCTATGCAAATTTTATGTTCTGCAGTTTGTCATTGCTTCTGAACGGTCAGCTCTTGGTACTACTGTCAAAACTAAGGCAAGACAAACCATCCGCAGCTGGGATCGAACCCGGCAGCTCAGCGTTACAAAGTGCATTCGCAAGGCCTAAGCCACAGATGCCGATTCACAAGAAAGCCCCTCTAAATGCTATATTTAGTTAATATATTCACATCAGTGCCTTCTTAACACTATGTTGTCGCACACAAAGGCTTGGCATTTAACAAAACTTTTCCAGCTCAGGTCACTGCAGAAATGGAAGTATTAGAAAAGTATGAGTCAAAAAAGTAAAGGACCCTTTTCCATACTCTCTGGCATATTGGGTATATAGGGCTAGACCATATATTTTATAGATCAAATGGTACTTGACAGGGTCAGCAATCTGAGGTCATTTTATGAAAAAAAATCTCATATCTGAACCCATGATCTTCGGATCCACAGGTGAGTGGCTAGCCACTACACCATGGCGGCTCCCAAAGAGTTAGGATATTACAATAAATTACCTTTCAGTTCCTGGACTGGTAATCCTGTAGAACCTATGCCGTAAGTTATGCTTGTCTCCATGGTAACAGACTGAACAAAGGTCATAATTTGGACACTCAGCACACTTCCAGCGAATCCCAAAGATTGGCTGCTGACGGCAGGTGTCACACATGGTTCCATCATGCTTGATCCCTAATTGTTTGTAAACAAAAATGTTATTCACTTAACTAATTCATAAACAGTCTATGAACAGCATATGCATACCAACTCTGTGCTACCAGTGCCAATTTGGATATTATCAAAGGCTAACCTATGTAATCACAAATGATGAGAATCGCTGTATAATTAAAAATATATAACCTAGACACAGTAAGTCAATGCAACAAGTAAGACAGAAATGTTCAGTAATAATCTGGATACAGTGAGTCTATGCAACAACTATCTTAGACAGAACTGTTCAGTAATAATATGGATAAAGTGAGTCTATGCAACAACTATCTTAGACAGAACTGTTCAGTGATAATCTGGATAAAGTGAGTCTATGCAACAACTATCTTAGACAGAACTGTTCAGTAATAATATGGATAAAGTGAGTCTATGCAACAACTATCTTAGACAGAACTGTTCAGTGATAATCTGGATAAAGTGAGTCTATGCAACAACTATCTTAGACAGAACTGTTCAGTGATAATCTGGATAAAGTGAGTCTATGCAAAAACTATCTTAGACAGAACTGTTCAGTGATAATCTGGATAAAGTGAGTCTATGCAACAACTATCTTAGACAGAACTGTTCAGTGATAATCTGGATAAAGTGAGTCTATGCAACAACTATCTTAGACAGAACTGTTCAGTGATAATCTGGATAAAGTGAGTCTATGCAACAACTATCTTAGACAGAACTGTTCAGTGATAATCTGGATAAAGTGAGTCTATGCAACAACTATCTTAGACAGAACTGTTCAGTGATAATCTGGATAAAGTGAGTCTATGCAAAAACTGTCTTAGACAGAACTGTTCAGTGATAATCTGGATAAAGTGAGTCTATGCAACAACTATCTTAGACAGAACTGTTCAGTGATAATCTGGATAAAGTGAGTCTATGCAACAACTATCTTAGACAGAACTGTTCAGTGATAATCTGGATAAAGTGAGTCTATGCAAAAACTATCTTAGACAGAACTGTTCAGTGATAATCTGGATAAAGTGAGTCAATGCAAAAACTATCTTAGACAGAACTGTTCAGTGATAATCTGGATAAAGTGAGTCTATGCAACAACTATCTTAGACAGAACTGTTCAGTGATAATCTGGATAAAGTGAGTCTATGCAACAACTATCTTAGACAGAACTGTTCAGTAATAATCTGGATAAAGTGAGTCTATGCAACAACTATCTTAGACAGAACTGTTCAGTGATAATCTGGATAAAGTGAGTCTATGCAACAACTATCTTAGACAGAACTGTTCAGTAATAATCTGGATAAAGTGAGTCTATGCAAAAACTATCTTAGACAGAACTGTTCAGTGATAATCTGGATAAAGTGAGTCTATGCAACAACTATCTTAGACAGAACTGTTCAGTAATAATCTGGATAAAGTGAGTCTATGCAACAACTATCTTAGACAGAACTGTTCAGTGATAATCTGGATAAAGTGAGTCTATGCAACAACTATCTTAGACAGAACTGTTCAGTGATAATCTGGATAAAGTGAGTCTATGCAACAACTATCTTAGACAGAACTGTTCAGTGATAATCTGGATAAAGTGAGTCTATGCAACAACTATCTTAGACAGAACTGTTCAGTGATAATCTGGATAAAGTGAGTCTATGCAACAACTATCTTAGACAGAACTGTTCAGTAATAATCTGGATAAAGTGAGTCTATGCAACAACTATCTTAGACAGAACTGTTCAGTGATAATCTGGATAAAGTGAGTCTATGCAACAACTATCTTAGACAGAACTGTTCAGTAATAATCTGGATAAAGTGAGTCTATGCAAAAACTATCTTAGACAGAACTGTTCAGTGATAATCTGGATAAAGTGAGTCTATGCAACAACTATCTTAGACAGAACTGTTCAGTAATAATCTGGATAAAGTGAGTCTATGCAACAACTATCTTAGACAGAACTGTTCAGTGATAATCTGGATAAAGTGAGTCTATGCAACAACTATCTTAGACAGAACTGTTCAGTGATAATCTGGATAAAGTGAGTCTATGCAAAAACTATCTTAGACAGAACTGTTCAGTGATAATCTGGATAAAGTGAGTCAATGCAAAAACTGTCTTAGACACAAGTGTTTAGTAATCATCTAGATACTGTGAGTCAATGCAACAACTAAGACAGAAATGTTCAGTAATAATATGGATACAATGAGTTTATGTAACAACTATCTTAGACAGAACTGTTCAGTAATAATCTAGATACAGTGAGTCAATGCAACAAGTAATTTAGAAAGAAATGTAAAGTAATAATCTAGATACAGAGAGTTTATGCACCAACTAATTTAGAAAGAAATAAGTAATGATCTAGATACAGAGAGTTTATGCGACAACTAATTTAGAAGGAAATAAGTAATGATCTAGATACAGAGAGTTTATGGAACAACTAATTTAGAAAGAAATGTAAAATAATAATCTATATACAGTGAGTCAATGCAACAACTAATTTAGACAGAAATAAGTAATGATCTAGATACAGAGAGGTTTATGCAACAACTAATTTAGAAAGAAATGTAAAGTAATAATCTATATACAGTGAGTCAATGCAACAACTAATTTAGAAAGAAATGTAAAGTAATGATCTAGATACAGAGAGTTTATGCAACAACTAATTTAGTAAGAAATAAGTAATGATCTAGATACAGAGAGTTTATGCAACAACTAATTTAGAAAGAAATGTAAAGTAATAATCTATATACAGTGAGTCAATGCAACAACTAATTTAGAAAGAAATGTAAAGTAATGATCTAGATACAGAGAGTTTATGCAACAACTAATTTAGTAAGAAATAAGTAATGATCTAGATACAGAGAGTTTATGCAACAACTAATTTAGTAAGAAATAAGTAATGATCTAGATACAGAGAGTTTATGCCAGTTTAACAGTACATCCTGTAGGCAGTAACCTCTCTACATAAGGTTTGCCTTTCTAAATAGCCCTAACAGACATTAACTCTTTCAGTCACACTTGTTATTCAACTCACTCTATTGAACAGTCATTACTTTACACTAAAACATGTTTTCCTGAAGATGTTCAAATAAAAGCTTTGCTGACCAAAGCTGAGTAGCAGTAATTTTCACACAAATATACTGTTCAACCCTCAGGATTTATAACGAGGATATAGTGTTCGTTGAGTTCCCAGAGTATATGTTTATTATTTTATACATCATTTATGTATTTATGATACATGTAATTTGTATTATCGTTTGAAATATTACTTTGTTTTAACATTTCTGGGTTGTGATTTAAGTTGGAAATGGTAATATGAACATTTAGATAATCTGACATTGTGTCATTAAAGTTGAGAGGGTTAATTTACCGACTGAATTTACTAGATAAGATACAAGATGTTAATAAAAGTATACTCTGTCAGAAGTAATTAATATAGTTATTTACATATAGTCAGTTGCAAGGTATTTAATCAGGGTTTGCTGAGTGAAACTGGATGAGGTGGGCCAAGAGGCATAGATATTGCAGGCTATCTGTAAACCATAACACAGTGTTGCAAAAGGCGAACTCAGAAGAAGAAAAGAAGAAGATGAAGAAGAAGAAGAAGAAGAAGAAGAAGAAGAAGAAGAAGAAGAAGAAGAAGAAGAAGAAGAAGAAGAAGAAGAAGAAGAAGAAGAAAGTACAGTTAGTTATTGTACAATGTACAAACCTGTTGATGCACTGTCATACACTTTCAAGTCATATGCTCCTGCACACCTGTAGTTTGCGGCAGTTCCATTATCCCAGACCACAACAACCTCTTCTGGAGATTCAAAATTCCTCACAGTCCCGATATGTCCTTCTCCCCCGTCTTGTTTCCCCCATTTCCAGTCGGGTCCCCTGACAACCCGAGCTCCTACTCCTTCCATTACGTTAATCCTAACACTCCTGGTATTTGTATTCGTGGTGCTAGTACTAGCTCCAGGGTCTATGGCTAGAACTGAAGACATTGCTGTCTCAGATCTGAGGCTGTCAGATCTATTCATGATAAGTTATCAACCTTATCTAGCAGGGATCTGCGCTGCCAGTGATCAGTCTCCAGCCCCTGGTGTTTGCTTGCAATGTATCCACTTCTGCCGACTCAATGTTTTTATGGTGAATGCGAGAACTTCCGTGTTTTTACAAAAATTTTCGACCGCGAAATCCAGCAACGGAATAATATTTTCCTAACAATTGTACATTTCAAGACAGACATACCCTTTGGTCGAAAAAAAATATGCACGTCTTAAACATTTAAAACACAATCTTCTGGCATTGAAAGAGTTGGTAGAAGCATTTTAATATGACCGTTATTTTGTTCCCTTTCTGTCTTTCTTGGCGACAGTGTTATATTGCACTATAGAGACGTAAAGAAGTCTTCCACAATTTCAGTACGAGTGCAAGATGTCACGATCATTGTTGCCATCGAGTGTGTTACTATTAATACTATGGGTCTATTTCAGTACCTATAATATTCATGTCTCTCTTCTTCTTCTTCGTCTTCGGCATTCTTATCCTTCGAGGTTCATTGCTGCGGATATCAATCGATTCCATTCATCTCTCTGGTTGGCCTTCTCTTTCCAGATGATGACACCAAGTGTTTGTCTGGATATTATCTCTCCATCGTCTTCTTGGTCTACCTCGTGGTCTGCGACCATTCATCTCCCTGGTGCATACAGTTTTCACTTCTCTGTCATCTGACATTCTTTCAATATGCCCCAACCATTTTACTCTATTAAGCTGGATGTTGTTAGGGCCCTTTGGGAGCGAGTGAACAGTGCCTAGGAACAGATAGATCACTACGGTCTGAGGAAAATGGCACTGCGAGGAGTTACAAGGGGATTTGGCCGACGCTCGACATTCGGGGTAGGGGCGAGACGGATATAAATTCAGACTGTTACTGGTACCATAGGAATTTTAACTCTTTGCTTGCTGCTGAAGATGGGGACGGAGCGCTTATCGGAGTGTCCCGAGTGCTGTGATGTCGATTCTTAATTCAACATTAATTCAGTCTATTAGCTCTCATGATGCCAGTCTCTCTTGCACCCATCTTTATATCGAAGTGGAGGCCGACCTCGGCATATTTTACTCATCTGTCATAGTGGTGGTGAAGGGGGAATAGACTCCTTAGGGACCAGCCTCCAAACATGACCTGGTCATGCTAAGCTTTGACAATATAAAAAAATTGGAGCTGCCGGGTATCGATCCCGGTACCTCTCACATGCTAAGCGAGCGCTCTACCATTTGAGCTACAGCCCCTGATGGTGCCGGTTGATGGAAACTATAAAAAAAAAATATAGAACAGCTCAAGCAAAGGCAGCATTTTACAAAATGGAAAATATTCTATGCAATCTGTCTTTGTCAAATCACGCCCATCTGTATCTTTATTTATATCTCAAGATGGCCGTGGTCAAATGAAACCAGAAGGGGAATTCCCAAGATCTAAATAAATCCTATACGCTCGCCTGTGGGTCAGAAGGTCGTGGATTCGGGTCCTTACGGAACGGAACCAGACTTTTTTTTTTTAAATGACTTTGGCTCCCAGGTCGACCTAGCCTTGAGTGGGTACCAGGTACAAGTCATGGGAAGTAAAGACGGTCGGTGTGATGTTGACTACATCACCCACCAAGTGCCGACTGATCTAAATAGGCCCTATAGGCCTGTGCCCAATACGCCTAATGGGGTGGAAAATGGTCCTTTACTTTAAGTATTGCTCTTTTGAATAAATCTTATCCTCATATACGAAAGTGCGACTCAGTCACTCAGTCACTCAGTCAGTTGCCTGTCCTTTGCAGAACCTTGCTCTCATAACAACCCTCTAGAAAACTTCTCGATCACAAACAAGATGTCCTGCGTCCGATACACCCATCTGGAGATCATCCGCCACATCCTGCACCCATCTTCTCTTTAGCCTTCCTCTTCATCTTTTCCCAGGCATATACCCCTCCATTGTTGTTCTCTCTCAACGTTCGTGACGTTTCAAGTGACCAGAATATTTCAATCTTCTGTGTTTTATCGTCTTCAATAACCAACCTTCTTCAATATTCAGTTCTTGAAGTATGGATGCATTTTATTTTACCCATGATATTCTTAGAACCAGTCTATAACATTTATATTCAAAGGCATTTATGTGCTTTTCAGCTTGTTTAGTAAGTGTGTGATTATTGAAACATTAAATTGCAGCAGCAGATGTCTGGTTTTATAGACGAATGATGAGAATACCATGGAGAGACAACAAATGAGGTATTGGAAGAAGCCTACTCGCGAAAGAACTGAATGTCAACATTTAAAGGATATGCATGCTTTTGTTATGTCATAGGAAGGAAGAAACTGGGGTATATCGGAGAAGGAAAGGAGGAGGAGTGGGATTGGAGAGAAAAATAGTCAGAGAGAGACAGGAAGAGAAGATGCTGTTCAGTTTTACATCATGGCCTGGACGGTAAGCTGTGTCGGATATGATTAAAAGTACACGAGACAGAAGGTTGTGGAGAGGCATGACTACTAACTCAATACGATATGGACTATAAAAAGAACAAGTTAATTAGACCAATTTAAAAAGACTATTCTGTTTTCTAATTTGTAGGTTTAAGTTTAAATAACGGATCAACATCATGGCACGAGAGTAGTAACCCATTAAAGCTCCGTTCTACTTCTAACTCAAGCCTGAGTCCGAAGAATCTCTGCGCAGTGCACGAACTCCGTAGCACCGGCGAGGATCATGAAATACTTTGAGTAGATTTTTAACTCTTAAAAATCTGCCTCTATAAACCAAACCACCAAACGACTATGCCAAGCATGACCATGGCGATACAAGCATGACCATGGAGATAACTGCTGCTGCCAGAGCACTCGTGTGGGTAGCAGAACAAGCGGCCACACATAGGGTAATCATTTCAGATTCTTATGAACAAGCTTCAGAAAATCGTCACAGGTAATCTCTGCTCCGAATGGGTAGAAAGAATTCGGAAGTCGCAGTTAACCTCTCTTATCTGAATCTACACACCTAGGCAGGCAGGGGTAAATGGTAATGAAAGAGCTGACCATCTGGCAAGTAATGCATCCTTGCCAATGGACAGAAGCATTGGCTGAGTTGATTTTATCAACGCTGTACTGACTAGGTTGGGGGATAATAGCAAATCTCTGACGTTAACACGACTGCGTGACCGAGGAGTTAGGCTTGGTGAAGCACGACTATGCCGTCTTCTAGGTAAAGACAGGAGATACTATAACCAACTCCTCATGGGAACAATCAGTAGAGGTACCTTCGAGTGGCTGCTGCATCGGAGGACTAAGCACACATGGGGAGGCCAGATGTGCAAAGACGTCGATTGTGATAACATAACAGTTATAGACAAATCGGCACAGACAAGGCTTCAATAATTCCTCGGAACTCTAGAGAAGTGGTCCAATAGTTGGTACATGCCTGTAAATGGGACCAACACCACACACACCATTTTCAGTCTTTCCAACAAACCCCAGAAAGCTTATGTATGGCATTCAGGCACTAAAACATGATGAATAACCATCGTACTTAGGAGTAACCTTTAACTCATGACTCACATGTAGAAAACAGACACAAAGTAATCAGGGCAAGGGACTCAGGAAAACTGATGATGAAGTAGCTGGAACCCACTGGGTGGGGGGGGGGGGAGACCTCGGTGTCCTCAAGAGGATCCATACAGGCTATGTGAGGCCTAAACTAGAGTATGATGGGATAGCTGCATGGGGCACATCAAATAAATCAAATTTTCAGAAATCTCAAAGATCCCAAATGATGCTCTCCGTATAATGACAGGGCCAAGCGCTCCATGTCCAAATCAGACATGAAAACAATTACTGGTCTCCATGATCATCACCCAGCTCTCTAAATATCACCATTTGAAAGAACAACCCATGCAAAGCTTAGGGATAACCTGCCAACAGTCAGAACCGCTATAACAGGGATCTCCTTCCAAATCCTCAATGAGCAGCACTGATATGAAGTCAGTTACGGAAGGAAAGATCAATAGACTTTATCCACACCAGAGTTGGATTAGAGTGCATACACAAGGGGCCGCGTTAGCACAGTCGATAAGAGGCTCGCTTTCAAATCCAGCTGCGACTCGCTGCAGCCACGGTCGGTGTTCGAAATTGGGCGGTTCCCGGGGTTCACCCAGCCTCTAGGAAATGGATACCAGAGTTGACACTCTGGGGTAAATGGAGGAACGTTGCTGTAGCCACAGAGTTACGTGCGAACGGTGACACAGGCGGAAAATTCTTATCAGCTGTCTGTACTGATGGCAGAGCACTTATGGTTTACAACCGTGTGCAATGACGCTGGTTCACATCTCCCGACTTTACCTTTACCTTTACAGATGGTTTAGCCAAGACAGCAATAAGAGACGGAGGAGGGGGAATATACATAGAATGTACAAATGGTTTAAAAATCAACCAAGCTAGACCAACAGGTTCATATTCCTCCAATTGCACAGCAGAAGCAGATGCAATTCTGGTAGCATGCTCTTTCCTGAATGGACAACAGCACAGCAAATATAGCAGAGTGGTCTTTCTGACTGATGCTATGTCATTTCTACAAGCAATAGTTAAGCCAAAATACACTCAGTTTGTAGACTTGACGCAACAGCTAATTCACTTAGGTTCTTCAATAGAACAGTCTGTAATGCAGTGGATTCCAGGTTACTGTGACTTGTAAGGCAATGAAATAGCGGATAGGTTGGCCAGAAGCGGCAGTGACATGGTGCAACCAAATAGCGACTTGACCCACCAAGATACTAAGACATTATTACTATCTAGAAAGGTGGCTGGATACACACACCAAATTCTTTCCTCAATATTCACTACTTCGCCTCTCTAGAGATGTACAGTGTATTATATTCACACTAAGGACAGGGCACAATAGACTTCTGCAACATATGCTCGAACTTTTCGATGTAGGAAATACGAAAAGGTGTCCCTGCAACTTAGCACCCGAAAATGCTGAGCGTGTGCTCCAACACTGTCAACTGTATGCTGACACCAGAGACGCAGTCTAACCTGTCCCAACCACAATGAAGACAAAACTGTATGGTACACGTGAAGATATGGACTGCGCGATAGCTTGCATAAAGACTACCGGCCTCCTGATATAAGTTTTCTGACAGAAGGATCGAAGAAGAAGAAGAAGACTCGGTGGGTGACGTCAGCCGCCCTTACTTCATAGGTACTTAAAGTGTACTTCCTCGTAATTATGAACCTTTTTATCCCTTTGTGGGATGCAATTTTTCGTTATTAGAAACTCTACACTGGTTCTTGCCAGGGGCCGCAATATAGCCCGGCCATAAATTTGGTCAAGAACTTCAAATCCACGTAAATGCGCTACACACAGTCTGCAACGAATATAACATGAAGATCAGCATCACCAAAACAGAAATTCTGAAAATAAGTAGAACACCTAATATACTAACTATTCAAGTTAACAACGAACAACTCAAACAAGTGCAGCAATTTAAATACTTGGGGAGCATCTTCACAGATGATGGAAGAATTGATAGGGAACTTGAGGCAAGATGTCAAAAGGCGAACGCAGTAACTTACCAACGCTCCCCACTGCTAAAACACCCAAGCATCACTATGGCACTAAAACGACAACTGATAAATTGCATGTTTATACCAACCCTCTGCTACCAATGCCAAACCTGGTCCCTAACAAGAGCACAGGAGAAAAAGATCACGACGTGCGAAATGAGATGCTTACGTAAGGCTGCCAATGTCACAAGGAGAGACAGAGTTCGAAACGAGAACATTAGATCAATTGTAGGAACCACACCATGCCTGCAATACATAAAGAAGCAACAAATAGAGTGGTTTGGCCACTTGATGCGAATGCAAACCGACCAACTGCCTCTACAAGCATACAACGAACAGCACTACTGCCCTAGAGCAAGAGGTAGACCGAGAGTACGATGGATAGACAATATATCAGAGATCCTGAGGCAACACGGACTAACAACAACACGTTCAACACACCTGGCCCAGGATAAAAAACTGCGACTCCCCGCTACGCTGTGAGGCAATTGTCGACAAGACAAGACATAAATTTGGTCTAATGACTGAACGCGGTTTCTTGGAAGTCTCCACGGGTGATCCTCATCCACATGGTGGCACTGTGTGTCACCAGGTGTTTATCGCCTGTGTGATGTCCTGGTGGGGTAAAAGAAGATAGTAGATAGAGGGTAATTAGGAAATGACTATGATATACTGTAATATATGTATTGGGAGGTATTTTTGTATGTACAGGAAACGAATCTTGCGATCTTTGGTAAAAAAAAAGTTTTAACCATTTACAATCTTCAGTCGCAGGAGATCAATTAATTACAGAGAAGCATGGCGGTGGTGGTTTGTTGACAAACGGTTTGGCCACACTACACATGGAGTAAGTTCTGCAGCAATGATTTTTACTGGTTTATGTTTAACACTTTCAAGTCCATGAATTTCGACAGTCTTGGCTCGCATTATTATCTCTTTTCAAAAATGTAGAGTCTCAGAATGGTGAAGAAATAAAGGTAGTAGGAAATTAAATATATATGTATATATTATTATTATTTCATATAATATATATAATTTGAGTAAATCCTCAAGTAAATAAATGACTAGACTGAATAAGAACCGAATGCTTCAAAAGTTTGTTGTAAGTTTTTTTTTTTTTAGGTGTTCGTTCGTTACCGTTACGTTCAGTTTCAATTTCTTAAAAAATTCTAAAGTAGTGATACGTTTCTGGGTTAGTTAATAACTGGATTATTAATAGTAATAGGTAGGGCGCTGAACTGCTGAACTAAATTCATAAAGATTCTCTAACATAAACTTGAGAAACTAAATAATCACTAAATTCGTTAGATGTTTAATTAAAAAAGAGTTATAGTACTGAGCAATATGCAAATAAATATGTGTGGGACAATCGGTGCAGAGTGCTCTGTTTTGTTGCAGTTGACAATACAGAATTTTTCAGTCAGCACACACTGCGTCATTTGAGCCTGAATTATTTGGTATGTATGTAAATTCAGTGTCCAAAATTATGAAATGGGAATCTACAGCACGATTTAGTTTAACGCAATGTTTAGTTATGCTATAAGTATCTTTACAGTTACATATCCCCCACACCACCTCACCGCAGTAACTTATAACCCACCGGAGAAAGTGAAAGAACACTAAGTAAAGAGAAGAAAATAAAATTATGTCCCTTGTGGTATATTTTCACAGTGATAGGCTCTTTCACGTCAAGCAGTCAACTGTCAAGAGAGAAGCAAGATGAAGAGGGACGCAAATCTGTTATTGTCTTGCAGGTAGATTAAGGTTAGTGGGGGTCTCCGTGGCAAAGTGACATAGCTGTTTACCTAGCACTCTGAAGGTCGTGGGTTCATGTATTCGTCATTAGGTTCACATGTGCAATTTTTACAGAGATCGTTGCTGGAGCTACAGAGTTCTTGCTTCATGCAACGCTCTCAGCAGGCGGCTAACTGTTCAACCATAAGATTTGAGCTACAAAATCATTTGCATTTAATCATTCTTCTTGACTTTAAGAACAATGAAAGGCTAGAGAAATAAAACCCATAGATAATGCTTTTTTGAAATTGAATGTACTATATACAGAACCATAAGCTGTGTTCTCTTGTCCACTGAGGTTTTTTTTGGTCACTGTTTGTCTTGTATTTATTTAAATAATTGTGTACTTCTTGATTACAGAAGCAAAAACAATGAAGACTAGATACAAGAAAGCCAAGCGTATTCTGACATTTTACTATAACCATTTTGGTCTGAAACCTCCTTATAATGTCCTGGTAAGTGTTTTTTTAAAAATTTGTTTAAAAAAAAATACGTTTATTTTGACTGAAGCCTTATTTTATTAACTCTTCCGGTCTCATCTCATCTTACACTGTTATACCTTGCAATGTCGAGGAAATCAGATTAATGTCTGGTCAGCCAGTCTTCTTCTTCTTCTTCGATCCTTCTGTCAGAAAACTTATATCAGGAGGCCGGTAGCCTTTATGAAAGCTATTGTGCAATCCATATCCTCTCGTGTACCATACAGTTTTGTCTTCATTGTGGTTGGAACAGGCCAGATTGCGTCTCTGTTGTCAGCATACAGTTGACAGTGTTGGAGCACATGATCAGCATTTTCGGGTGCCACGCTGCAGGGACACGTCTCCGTATTTCCTACACCGAAAAATTTGAACATATGTTGACGAAATCTGTTGTTCCCTGTCCTTAGTCTGAATATAATAGACTGTCCCTCTCTAGAGAGGCGATGAAGTGAGTCTTGGGGAGAAAATCTGTTGTGGGTATCCAGCCACCTTTTTTGGATACTAGATTGTATTAGTGTTTTCATCTCTTGGTGGGTTAAGTCGCTATTTGGTTGTACCATGTCACTGCCGCTTCTGGCCAATCTGTCTGCTATTTCATTGCCTTCCAAGCCACAGTGACCTGGAATCCACTGCAGAACAGATTGTTCTACTGAAGAGCCTAAGTAAATCAGCTGTTGCGTCAAGTCTACAAACTGTCTTTTGGGTTAACAATTGCTTGTAGAACTGACATAGCATCAGTCAGAAAGACCACTCTGCTATATTTGCTGTGCTGTTGTCCATTCAGGAAAGAACATGCGGCTAGAAGTGCTTCTGCCTCTGCTCTGTAATTGGAGGAATATGAACCTGTTGGTACAGCCTGGTTGATTTTAAAACCATTTGGGCATTCTATGTATATTCCTCCTCCTCCGTCTCTTACTGCTCTCTTGGCTGAACCATCTGTATACACTCGAATCCAACTCTGGTGTGGGTAAAGTCTATTGATCTCTCGTTCTGTAGTTGATTTCATATCAGTGCTGCTCATTGATGATTTGGAGGAGACCCCTGTTACAGTGGTTCTGACTGTTGGTAGGCTATCCCTAAGCCAGGCGGGGCAGTCGTTGTAAGGTTTAAGTGGAACATTTGGTATTATGGGAGGGAGTTTAAGGACAGCGAGCTTGGCATTTGCGTTCTTAATAAAGCAAGTTCTTCTCTTTAGTCTAGCCTTCTGGGGTTTCTGCAGTCGGCTGTACATGAGTTGTTCTTGAAAGTGGTGGTATTTGGAGAGCTGGGTGAGGATCTTTGTGTCTCTCCTATCTTCCAGATTATGGAGACCAGTAATTGTTTCCATATCTGATATGGGCGTGGAGCGCATTGCCCCTGTGATAATACGGAGAGCATGGTTTTGGATCTTTGAGACTTTCTGAAAATTTGATTTAGCTGCTGTGCCCCAAGCAGCTATTCCATATTCTAGTGTTGGCCTCACATAGCCTGTATAGGTCCTCTTAAGGACATTGAGGTTTGCCCCCCAGTCTGTTCCAGCTAACTTCCTCATCAGTTGTGTTCTCTTGAGTCCCTTGCTCTGTGTCTTTTCTATCTGTTTTCTCCATGTGAGTCTTGAGTCAAAGGTTACTCCTAAATATGACGGTGAGCGCCAGTAATATCAACAGTTAAAAGACAGAGAAGATGGCGCTGTATTGGACACAACCTGAGAAGAGACGACAGAATCATCAATTAGGCACTGGAATGAAAAAAAAGAGGGATTGACACAAATGTCCAAGAGAAACACTGAGATGAACTTTGATGAGAGAAGCCACGGGTGCTGAAGTGGATTCCTTCCATAATGTCAAAGTGATTGCAAAGGACAGAATGGAGAAATAGACTGCAAGCCCTATGTGACATACAAGGGCATGGTAGGGCAGGGAATGAAGGAATCACTGCTGATGTACTCCATTGTGGGGGAAATAACAATAGATCCACTGCCAGTTTTTTATTAATATCTTACCCCAGTTGACATCACAGGACAGTCCAACATTTTAGAGGGTGGTGAGACTAGTTTCCCAGCTTTCTGATGCTTTTAACAACCCCAAAACATCTAGAACTGGCAACCTCAAACCACCTACATCCCACGAGAGAGTGCAGCCTAGGTCCCACAAATGCCTACAGCCTAGGTCCCATGACTGCATGCAGCCTATCTTACCACCCCCTGAAATTTTAGACTGTCACGTGACCTGTGAATTTTCCCTGTTTGGGGTAGGATATTAATAAAGCACCCTACTGCCTGCCCAAAAGCATGTCGTAAGAGTCAACTAATTGGGAGCTTCCTTCAAAGTCAGAGTACATTTGCCTGAGAGGCAGGGAGCCAAAAGTCTGCATGCAGATGAGTCAGACCTGTGAAACAGATGTGCACGCAACACTCAGTTTCTGGAACAGGTCTAGAGTCCAGAAGTGGAGGAACAACTAGAACTTTCCACCATAGTTTACAGCCGTTCATAGATTCCTACCTAGAAGCCCAATGAACGCAAGATGTGCCGATTTTACGTCTCTCTTAACTACCCCTTGTGCCAATATGCTAAACCCCCTGGGACTCAAAGAGTTAAAATTGAGAAGAAGAAGATTGGTGATGTAATATAAATTTTTTTACTGTTGTAGATCTGTGGCACATTTTGCAAACAAGCCCTTGTGGATAAAATTAATATTGCTGAACAGTTACCCAAGTATCTGAGCGCTGAGGTGAAACTGTGCACAACCAAGTGTGCCATTAAAGAATGTGAGTTGGGAGGTATGCATCAAGTTCATGAATATACAAATGAATCTTTAATAATTATTGCCTTGTAATCCTGCTTTATATAACAACTATGCAAAGTTAATTTCAATCCAACTTTTTGATTTGTTTGTTTGCATTCCTCGGCTGTAAATGCCAACCGAATGTCTTGTTTGTTCACCTGAGTTTTGTATATACATCCGTTTTACATATCTGGCTTATTTGTATGCAGACTGTTAGTTCCTCTCAGGCAGATGCAATCTGACTTTGAAAGAAACATCTAATTAATCTCACATAGGGGCCCTTTAACCCACACGGGGAGAATTGGGGGAGGAGGTGGAGCAGTGCTAAAGTAAAAACCCCCTCACATCAAGACTCAAATTGCACATACTGGTTGTCCCTGTGTGGTTAAAGTCAGAATACATCTGCCTGAGAGGCGAGTAACCAACAGCCTGTATACAAAGAAGCTACATCTGTGAAACGAACAGGGCACACAGAACTCAAGTTCAGGGGACCCCACATGTGGGTTTTAGGGTCCGATTGTGGGAAAATCAAGAATAGACCCACTTCCTCCCCCAACAAGCATGTTGTAAGATTTTACTAATTGGAAGCTTCCTTCAAAGTCAGAGTGCATCTGCCTGAATGGCAAGGAGCAAACAATCTGCATACAAATAAGTCATATATGTAAAATGGATGCGCACGCAACACTCAGGCTCTAGAAAAAGACTAAAGTTCAGAGGTGGATAAACAACCAGAACTTTCGAGAAGAGTTTACAGACAGTGAACGTGAAGAAAAAGTTCTTGAACAAGTCAAAGATCCAGAAGTGGACAAAAAAACCAAACTTTTCTGTCGGAGTTTACGACCAGTGGACACTTAAGAAAAAAAAAGACATACCAATAAGCAGTCGGTAGTTGATGTGGTCAGCATTATGCCTGCCACTTTTACTTCCCACTAGAGTTCAATATATAACATCCATGTTATTCTGGTTTGAAACACCAAAAGAGAGCACTAGACTATACTCATCTTCGTTAGAAAGTAAACCAGCAGTTATAAAATCAAACTGAGTCTTTGAACGTGTGAATGTATAAAACAACAGGTTGTGTTTCAGAGAAATAAAAACAATCCGATAAAGAGGTTCTGAAGAGATTTGGAATGAAAAGACAGTTGCTGTAAGAAAGAAGAAATACAATTGAAATATGAGATTGGGATTGAAAAGACAGTTGCTGTAAGAAAGAAGAAATACAATTGAAATATGAGATTGGGAATGAAAAGACAGCTGCTGTAAGAAAGAAGAAATACAATTGAAATATGAGATTGGGAATGAAAAGACAGTTGCTGTAAGAAAGAAGAAATACAGTTGAAATATGAGATTGGGAATGAAAAGACAGTTGCTGTAAGAAAGAAGAAATACAGTTGAAATATGAGATTGGGAATGAAAAGACAGTTGCTGTAAGAAAAAAGAAATACAGTTGAAATATGAGATTGGGAATGAAAAGACAGTTGCTGTAAGAAAGAAGAAATACAATTGAAATATTTCGACCACATTAAAAGACAACACTCCTTTAAAAACTATGCTGAAGGGAAGATGAAGTGCGATGATTCGCATTTGGTTATCTAATGATTTACAGTCTATAGCGTGTTTTTCCCCCATAAATATTTAAATAATAGAAAATGTATCTGTTTCTTTATCCCTACACTCTCATTGTCTTATCTCTCTCCCACCCACCTTATTTCTGTTATTCATATTTCTTTTTCATTCCCCTTTCTGATTTGCTCTCTGTATCTCTCCCAGTTTTTTTTTTCTTTTTTCAAATGTTCAATTTGTTCCGCCCTTTGCCTCTGTCTCTCTCAAACCCCTTTCCATCAGCATCTTTCTCTGTTCCAAGTCTACTTTCCTCCAAGGACTTTTTTTTTTTAGCAAGAGGTTACCGCTACTCACCACACCATGCCTAAAAGGTGCTTGTATGCAGTACAAAATGTGGTGCTTTATTAATATCCTACCTCAAACAGGAGAAATTCACAGGTCATGAGACAGTCTAATATTTCAGGAGGTGGTAGATAGGCTGCATGTAGTCGTGGGACCTAGGCTACACTCTCCCATGAGACATAGGTGGGGTACTAGTTCTATATGTTTATGGTTCATTAAAAGCATCGGAAAGCCTGGAAACCTAGTCTTACCACCCTCTAAAATGTTGGACGGTCCTGTGACCACATCTGGGGTAGGATATTAATAAAGCACCCACAATGTTTATGACAGCGCTAAAAATGTTGCCTAAAAAAATACTGGTACTGTGGACCTCTGGAAAAATCCCTGCTTCCTACTGTTAAGAGTTCTTTGATTATTGATATTCATATGTGTGAAGATATTACTTGAATCATGAAATGAGTATTTGAACAAACTTTTTAGGATCTCTGCTGTACGGGCCGTATAAAGTTCTGAGCCAGTTTGACATTGTTCACTGTCCACACGCTTGGTTCAAAGGAAGTGCTAAATGTCTACGCAAGACGGCCCTGGGTAAAGGAAATCAGTTCTTGGTTGCTACACAGGTCAGTGGGTTGTTGTTGTTCCTCCTTCACCCTTTATCCATCCCCCTCAATGGAGCTTAGACCCCCAACCAACTCACACCAAGTCATCCTATCGTTTGCTGTCACATGCAGCTCACAACATGTCTTCCCAGTCTTTTTAACTTGACTCTCTAGTACCCTTCTCTGTGTGTTTTTTGATCTACCTTGATTTCTATGCCCTTGTGGGTTAATTGAAAAGATTCATCACCGGAGCTATGGAGTGCCTGTTGTGTGCTTCATGCCATCGTCAGCAAGCAACTAAAGGATGGTGAGGACATAGAGTGGACAGTGAGCTGCATGCAATAGCAGAGGATTGGCCTGAGTTGGTTGAGGGCCTATGCTCCACTGGGGGATAAAGTGCACAAAAAGTTGATGATCATCTTACAAAGACACACTCAGTATGTTCCAGGCAGTTGGCTTGAACAATTCAACATCATCACCTTCTATATACATAATGGGCTCAACTGGGCCGAAAATCTTTGTCCACGTGGAAATATACTATAGATGTTGGTTGGTAGATGAACAGTTAGATTGAAGGTAAAAGTCGAGAGGAGCAGCTGCATTGCACGGGGTTTGATCCCATATTGCTTAGTCTCTCTCCGCAGAATGGCGCTAGCCGTCTGTCGAGAGCGCCTCACAGAGCACGAACTCTGTAACTCCAGCAATGATCCCCAGTGGGGATGGACAGTTATTATGCAAGAAATTTCTTGAGGCTTCAGGGATTTGCTTTTACAGAAGTATGCTCCTCCGTGTGGGTTCCGGGGCCCTATTGTGGGGAAAACAAGAATAGACCCACTGCCTCCCCAAAAGCATGTCGTAAGAGTCAACTAACTGGGGAGCTTCCTTTGAAGTCGGAGTGCATCTGCCTGAGAGGCAAGGAACCAGCAGTCTGCATTCAATTGAATCAGATTTGTAAAACTGATGCACACGCAACACTCAGGTTCTGGAGCATGACTGCAGTCCAGAAGTGGACGAACAACCAGAGCTTTACGCCAGAGTTTACAGCTGGTGAACACAAAGAAGAAGAAGTATGCTTACAATTCATTGGACAGCCAGAATGAGTTAACTCAGATGTTTTGAAAGAGGTGAGGATCTGGAAACAACTTCTCATAGACATCAGTCATCCATTGTTTGGGGTCCATGTTATGAGAATATTGGAAACTTAAATATGTTGTGGCCACTGGACAGGGTTGTGAAAAGTGATAGAGGGAAAAAACATGAGAAGATTCTTGACAGCCTTGTGGTATGGAGGGGTATCAGAACATGAACTGATACATGCTGTTGGAGATCACAGGTTGTGGAGGGGCATGATTGCTCACGCCAGCTGGCAAGGCATTTGATGTGAGGTGGATAGATAGATGCTGATTCTTGTGCTAAAAGGAAGGATCAGCAGTAAATGAGGTTCGGGTGGACCGAGAGAAATATTGCTGGATCCAGAACACCTGGGATCCATATCTGTGAAGAGACACAAATATATATGCAATCTGGCAAGGCATGTGATGCTGATAATTAATAATGGAATGCTTTGATGATGTATCATTGATAGTTAACTCTTTCAGTCCCAAACTACTGGATTTTTACTCCTTCTATTTCACGGTGTTGAGCTCAGAAGCAATAACTACTTAGGTTTGAAGGGACTGAAAAGAGACAGTTTAGATCACAAGTAGTTAAACTAACCCTTCAGATATAAATGGTTAATTTAACATGTGTCTTCCCCGTTTGGGTCCCGGGTCCCATTGTTGGGGAAAACAACTGCCTCCCCAACAAGCATGCAGTAAGAGTTGACAAGTTTGGGGCTTCCATCAAAGTAAGAGTGCTTCTGTCTGAGAGCAAGGTACAAACATTCTGTATACAAATAAGTAATATCTGTAGAACAGATGCAGACAGAAAGCTCAATCCTTGGAACAAATCCAAAGTCCAGAAACGGACCAACAACCAGATCTTTCTGCCGTGGTTTACAGCTGGTGAAATCAAACAAACAGCATGTATCTGTGATAGAATACAGCGAGAACACCAGATTTGTCTTTGGAATTATCTAGAAATATTTGATGAATTGTTAGAGGCTGAAAGGGTTATAAAGTTATTTGCGTTTCCTCTAAAGGACTTTGCAGAACCGGCCCCAGCGTTTCTTTTGGCTGCTGTGGTTTTCTAGGCGATTTTACGTTTACCAGTTTACTTTTGCCACCTGAACTGTTGGCTCCCCATACCATTGTCAAAAACATAACAAAAAAGTCATCTGCTGCCTAATCACCTACAGCTGGAATTTTCTTCTTCTTCATGTTAACTGGCTGTAAACTCCGTAGTAAAGTTCTGGTTTGTCATCCACGTCTGGACTTGAGTCTTGTTCAAGAATTTGGGTTTTTGTGTGCACATCAGTGTTTTTTTTTAACAGCTTACTGGAATGCAGATGGCCGGTTCCTCGCCTCTCAAGCAGGTGCACTTCGACTTCGAAGGAAAATCACTAATTAATCGCTTTGACAGCAAGCTTGTCAGGGGGCGGAGGGTCTGTGTTTGCCCCCTACAAAATGGGGCCCCAGAACCCACAAGGGGAAGCTGGAATCAAAACACGGACCTCAGGATTACAAAGTGCATTTGCAACACCTAAGTCATATGACTTATAAACTCCAAACAATAATTAACTGGTGCCTGCACAGAATAGAGGGAACTAAATCACATGTTGGAATCACTAATGTAGACCTTTGGGAGAGAACTAAACAAGGTCTAGTGGAGCAAGAGTTGAAGAAAATACACTGGTGTTGGATAGGACACTTGTTGAGAAAACCTGAGAACAGTATAGCTGTTGCTGTTGTTATTGATCCAGCGGCGCATGTACTTTTGCCCTTTGGCCCAATGCCATGTTGTGGAATTTACATGTTTTCACAAGCTGTTCTTTTCCTCCATTCAAGGTGTTCCACCTGTCTGGCCTCGGAGGGAGTAGCAACTTTGCCCAAGCATGATATTAAGGATATTGGGCGATAGCTTTTTGGGTCCTCTGGAGGCTTATTGGTTTTAAGTACGGGGACAATATATGCATTCCTCCATGCCTTTGGAAGTTTGCCTGATCTCCATGTTTTATTAATTAGCCTGAGAACTACTTCTCTGCCAAGATGTAGCAGCATTTTGTTGTGGATCTTATCTGGACCTGGGGATTTTCTAGGTTTTAATTTCTTCAGAGCTTGTTCTAATTCATCCATGCTAAACTAATCTTCAACAGTATACCTAGAATGTCTTTATACTGGAATCCACAGGGGCATAGAAATAAAGAAGACTAAAAAAAAACACATGGAGAAGTGAAGGTAATGGGGAGAGCTGCATACAATAACAAAGGATGGAACGACTTGGTGTGAGTTGGTCGAGGGCCTGTGCACCACTGGGGGTTAGAAAGGTAGAAAAAGAAGAAGCCACATAAAAAAACGTAATTGATAGAATATATGAATATGTAATATTTTTTTCTTTATAGACAATTTGGTTGACTATTTCTGCTTTTTTCTTCTTCTTCTTCAGGATGAGGAGCTTGCAAGCAGTCTCCGTGAGCACAATGTTCCATTACTCCACATTTCCCACAATTCTATCAACCTTGAAGCTGCATCTGACAGCTCTAAAGCAACAGCAGAAGAGAAGACATCACAAAAGTTAACATTATCACAAAAACAGGAGGCTTCAATAATAAAAATGAAACAAGAAATGGGTTTACCTGTAGAAGAACTCAAGAAAAAGAAAAAGAAGAAGCTCAAAGGGCCAAATCCACTTTCTTGCAAAAAGAAGAAGAAGAAGATGATGAACACGCATGCAACTGCTCTAAATGGTGTGGCATCTGGCGGTATAGACAAGAAGAAACGAAGAAAGAAAAAGAAAAAGTCCCACTCTGTTGTTGCTGATAATATTTCTGTTTCTTGACACTGGTTGAACAAAGTTACACAACTAGGACGAATGTTTTAATTGAGGCTTGTTCATAAGTTTGTTTTCATTGGTTAACAGTTCAGATGTTCCGTGTTTCACAAAGTATAAGGACAAATGTTTTAATTGAGGCTTGTTCATAAGTATGTTTTCATTGGTTGACAGTTCAGATGTTCCGTGTTTCACAAAGTATAAGGACGAATGTTTTAATTGAGGCTTGTTCATAAGTATGTTTTCATCGGTTGAAAGTTCAGATGTTCCGTGTTTCACAAAGTATAAGGACGAATGTTTTAATTGAGGCTTGTTCATAAGTATGTTTTCATTGGTTGACAGTTCAGATGTTCCGTGTTTCACAAAGTATAAGGACGAATGTTTTAATTGAGGCTTGTTCATAAGTTTGTTTTCATCGGTTGACAGTTCAGATGTTCTGTGTTTCACAAAGTATAAGGACGAATGTTTTAATTGAGGCTTGTTCATAAGTATGTTTTCATCGGTTGAAAAGTTCAGATGTTCCGTGTTTCACAAAGTATAAGGACGAATGTTTTAATTGAGGCTTGTTCATAAGTTTGTTTTCATCGGTTGACAGTTCAGATGTTCTGTGTTTCACAAAGTATAAGGACGAATGTTTTAATTGAGGCTTGTTCATAAGTATGTTTTCATCGGTTGAAAGTTCAGATGTTCCGTGTTTCACAAAGTATAAGGACGAATGTTTTAATTGAGGCTTGTTCATAAGTTTGTTTTCATCGGTTGACAGTTCAGATGTTCTGTGTTTCACAAAGTATAAGGACGAATGTTTTAATTGAGGCTTGTTCATAAGTATGTTTTCATCGGTTGAAAGTTCAGATGTTCCGTGTTTCACAAAGTATAAGGACGAATGTTTTAATTGAGGCTTGTTCATAAGTATGTTTTCATTGGTTGACAGTTCAGATGTTCCGTGTTTCACAAAGTATAAGGACGAATGTTTTAATTGAGGCTTGTTCATAAGTTTGTTTTCATCGGTTGACAGTTCAGATGTTCTGTGTTTCACAAAGTATAAGGACGAATGTTTTAATTGAGGCTTGTTCATAAGTATGTTTTCATCGGTTGAAAGTTCAGATGTTCCGTGTTTCACAAAGTATAAGGACGAATGTTTTAATTGAGGCTTGTTCATAAGTTTGTTTTCATCGGTTGACAGTTCAGATGTTCTGTGTTTCACAAAGTATAAGGACGAATGTTTTAATTGAGGCTTGTTCATAAGTATGTTTTCATCGGTTGAAAGTTCAGATGTTCCGTGTTTCACAAAGTATAAGGACGAATGTTTTAATTGAGGCTTGTTCATAAGTTTGTTTTCATCGGTTGACAGTTCAGATGTTCTGTGTTTCACAAAGTATAAGGACGAATGTTTTAATTGAGGCTTGTTCATAAGTATGTTTTCATCGGTTGAAAGTTCAGATGTTCCGTGTTTCACAAAGTATAAGGACGAATGTTTTAATTGAGGCTTGTTCATAAGTTTGTTTTCATCGGTTGACAGTTCAGATGTTCTGTGTTTCACAAAGTATAAGGACGAATGTTTTAATTGAGGCTTGTTCATAAGTTTGTTTTCATCGGTTGACAGTTCAGATGTTCTGTGTTTCACAAAGTATAAGGACGAATGTTTTAATTGAGGCTTGTTCATAAGTATGTTTTCATCGGTTGAAAGTTCAGATGTTCCGTGTTTCACAAAGTATAAGGACGAATGTTTTAATTGAGGCTTGTTCATAAGTTTGTTTTCATCGGTTGACAGTTCAGATGTTCTGTGTTTCACAAAGTATAAGGACGAATGTTTTAATTGAGGCTTGTTCATAAGTATGTTTTCATCGGTTGAAAGTTCAGATGTTCCGTGTTTCACAAAGTATAAGGACGAATGTTTTAATTGAGGCTTGTTCATAAGTTTGTTTTCATCGGTTGACAGTTCAGATGTTCTGTGTTTCACAAAGTATAAGGACGAATGTTTTAATTGAGGCTTGTTCATAAGTATGTTTTCATCGGTTGAAAGTTCAGATGTTCCGTGTTTCACAAAGTATAAGGACGAATGTTTTAATTGAGGCTTGTTCATAAGTTTGTTTTCATCGGTTGACAGTTCAGATGTTCTGTGTTTCACAAAGTATAAGAGGCACTTGATTTTGGGACCCTAAATTTGGAGAGAGAAAATATGATTGCATAAAGTCATTAAACTCATATTCTGTTCATCATAAAATCCAGAAAACTCATCATCGTTGTCCGAACTCTCCTCCATATGATAGTTCTTTAGCTTGTCCTCATCTGTGTCTGAAGATGAATCACTGTCTTCATATGTTGCCTCATCCTCAGTCCCATCTCTGGCATTTGAAATGCCACACTTCTTGAATGACTTGACAATGATCTAAATCTTTACATTATTGCAGAATCTTTTCACCCAGTCTCCTATATTCTTCACACTACCTGCTGCTGTCAAATTATCCCCAGAAAGAGGATTTCAACGGTGTTTGCCTCAACTCAAACTGATGTGTCTTCCTACATTCTTCTTCTTCTTCGCGTTCACCAGCTGTAAACTCTGGTGGAGCGTTCTAATTTTTCGTCCACTTCTGCACTGCAGTCCTGTTCCAGAACCTGAGTGTTGCATGTGCATTCATTTGACAGATTGTGTGCAGACTGTTGGTTCCTTGCCTCTCAGGCAGATGCACTCCGACTTAGAAGGAAACTCCAAATCAGTCGACTCTTACAACATGCTTTTGGGTAGTCAGTGGGTCTGTTCTTCTTTTCCCTACAACATGGAACCCACACGGGGGTCTTCCAACATTGAATGACAAAAAGATGGAATTCATAGACCTCCTGCTGATAGCTTGCAAGCATCTTTTGGCAAGTCTGGTGCGTGTACGCATGCTAAGTCCATTTCATTTCATGAACCTGAAGAACACTTATGCTCTCCTATGAAATCAGTAACTATTTACGCATGCTAAGTCCATTTCATTTCATGAACCTGAAAAACACTTATGCTCTCCTATGAAATCAGTAACTATTTCAACACCAGCTCTTCTTGCTTCATGCCAAAACATCACAGTGGAATTCTAATTGCTTTTTGATCTGCAATTACCTCTCTCATTCAGGCAACTTTTTCGACTTGTCTCTCATGGCCTTCTTCTTCTTCTTCTGTGATATCTTCAGCAGTGTTTATTTTTTCAGGTTGTTTTCTTAGTTGAAGGACCACATTTAGGTTCAGCAGCATGATTTCCATTCACTTTTGCAAACTGGATCATTTCTAACTTGAATTCAGCACTGTACGGAAATCTGTTCTAAGACATTTATGGGCAAAAGGTAACCTTCTGTAACAAGTGTGAAACAATGAAGACAAGCGCAAAAACTGTTATGGTGGGAAAGAACTTTTTAACATATGTTTCCATTTTATTGAACCAGCGTTCCCAAATGAGGCCCTGTATGGGATACTTTCTAACCAACCATTTGGTAAAAAGTCTTCTGTCATTGTATGACACTCACTTTTTAGACCCTATATTTTTGGAAAATAAGTGTCTTGGTGAAATATGGTAAATTTAAACATATTTTGATTGGCTTATGTGATTTGGTGAATGTTTCATAGGCTGCAAAAATTGTACAGCGTAAGTGTGTTTTATCCACTCCTCACTAGGCTTCTCGGACTTTAATGGTCTGTTTTCTTGCTCCCAAAGGACCCTTACAATATCTAGCTTGTCATGCATCAATTTATAGTTGTCTACGGGTGAGGTAGTCAGCCGCACACCAGCCATTCTGAGTTGTCTTGTGGTGGTTTTATTATGGGCAGCTGGCAATGTTACTCTTGTCTGGTCTCTTTGAGGACAGTGACTAAACATTATGGCATTGCAAATCTTTTCATAGGATGATGGTGTGAGGTTGAATAATATTGTTTTCTTAAAATTTAAATAATGCCGACACAAACAGTACGTAGCACAATTTATTGCCAGGCATATCTCTGTGTATCGGGTCAGGTGTGTTACCACAGAGTTACTTCAACATAAAATGAAGCACAGAAAACCAAATAAATCCAACCAAAATATGAATTGTTTCTTTCGATGCATCATGTTTGTTTAGTAGTCGGAAGTTCACTGAAATCACATGACCTGCCAGGGTAACTTCACATTTACTATAAATTCTGTCTGCTTACAAAGGAGGAGGTTCTTGATTTTATTGTGTGTTAAAGCTTCGGCCATTCCCAGCTGTTCTGTGCATGGTTTATTACTTAGTGTCAATGAAGATTCTGCAGATGTTTGCTTTTAGATATATCTTTCATGTATTTTCTGACATGGACAGTAATGTAGATAAAGATGGGGTAGCTGGTTATCATCATAGTTAGTTTCTACTTTCCCCATATGGTTTCTGGGGTTCCATTGGAGGGAAAACAAGAATAGGCGTACTGCCTCCTTATCAAGCAGGTTGTAGAAGTCGACTAATTGGGTGCTTCCTTTAAAGTCAGCGTACATCTGCCCGAGCGGCAAGGAACAACTATTGTATATAAATAAGCCTGTAAAACTGAGGCCCTGGCACAAAGCCAAAGTCCAGATGAACAAACAACCAGGACTTTCCGCCGGAGTTTACAGCCGGTGAACAAAGAAGAAGAAGCAGAAGTTTTCCCTTTTTGCTGTTTAGTAGTTAGGGCTGATAGAGATGTTTCAATATGAAATCAAATGGCAAGAGTAGATTTCATAGCACTAGTAAATGTGTAGAAGTCAAAGGAAATTAAAACTAAATTGGCTATCTGTAATGTCAAAACTGTACTGTTGTATGAAGCGGAAACGTGGAGATCAACTAAAACAATACTAGACAACTATGAACGTTCATTAACTAGTGTCTGTGCAGGAGGGATGGGATTAAGTGGCATGACTGAGTCACTAATGTTGAGCTTTGGAAAGAACTAAACAAATTCTTCTTAAAAAAAATTCCTGCTGTTGGATGGGACAGACATAGATAGAGACACTCTGTGAAAAATACGACTTGAAGGGCTTTTACTCTGG